GTCCATGCCAGAAATCTCATCTTAAAAACTGATTGGTAAAAGTGAGACACTGGAGGAGAGCATCACTGCTAGTGTCTCCCATAGACATAGACCTTTCCCAGTGGTATCTCATAGTAGTATTCCTTGTCCACAGAACTTGCATCTCTAATAATAGCAAGTGCACTGTGTTGTAGGAGCAGCAGTGATCTGTATGCTCTGTATAACCTGTATGTTCAAAAGGTCTGTTACACCCCCCCCCCTTTTGTCTCCTCTCCCTCTTTGAATACCTGTGAAGTGGCTTTCCCCCTCCCCCTCCCTCCTGGAATGCTTGTGGGATGAATGGGCTGCTTGAGCAGCTGGAAGATCAGAAGAGCTCCAAGGTAGACAAGGTGTCTGGGACTCTGATTAGGCAGTGATCACACACCAAATGCATGGATACTGCCCGAGGTGGAGTGTGACCAACCAGATGTGGCCAAGTCATCTCTAGTCGCAGGCCATGAGGAGCAGGTCCATAAAAGGGGAAGGGGCCATGTGCTCAGGAGTGCACTCACAAGATTGTACCTCCCATGAAGGCCCTTCGCCCGGACCACCTGGCCAGTGGTTTGCCGTGTTGCATTTCAACGTGCCTCGGGAAGACTTACCTTCATCGCACCATCCATCGCTGCGCTCTGGGACACTTACCTTGAAGGATCCTGACATCTCCAGTGCTGTGCCTGTCCTGGGAGCGTGAGTATGCGAGTGTGAGTGTAGCCCCATCCGCTTTCTTTTGAGCTTAGCTATTAGTATAATAAACGTGCTGCTTTCTGCCAAACTCTGGTGGGTCATTAGTCCTACCTAAGCTTATAGCTGGCCCAATTTCGGGTAACACACTGGTGAAGACAACGAGGAGTCCTTGTGGCACCTTAGAGACTAACAAATTTACTTGGGCATAAGCTTTCGTGAGATAGAACCCACTTCATTGGAAGCAATCAAAATATAATTGAAGAATGTTTTTTCATTGATTCCAAGGCCAGAAGGGCCCATTGTGATCAAGGCTATAGAACTTCTCAAAATAATTCCTTTTGAACTAGAGCATATATTTAAAAACAATCTCGATTTTAAAAATTGTCAGTGATGGAGACTCCACCATAACCCTTGGTAAATTGTTCCAGTGGTTAATTATCCTCATTGTAAAACATTTACTCCTTATTTCCAGTCTAAATTTGTCTAGCTTCAACTTCCAGCCATTGGATTTTGTTATACCTTGTCTGCTAGATTGAAGTCACCCTTTAACCGTCTCTTTCTTAAGTTAAATAGATTGAGCTCCCTGAGTCTATCGTTATAAGGCACGTGTTCTAATCCTGTAATCATTCTTTTGGCTCTTCTCTGAGCCCTCTCCAATTTATTAACATCCTTCTTGAATTGTGGATACCAGAACTGGACACAGTATTTCAGCAGGGTTGCACCAGTGCCAAAGAAGGAGGTAAAATAACCTCTGTGCTCCTACTTGAGATTCTTCTGTTTATGCATCCAAAGATAGCATTAGCCCTTTTGGCCACAGCTTTGCACTGGGAGCTCATGTTCAGCTGATTATCCACCATGACCCCAAATCTTTTTCAGTCACCACTTCCCAGTAAGGGCACTGGAACCTTTGTAGAAGCGCGGGGCGGGATGCAGGGTCACATGCCCGCAAAGATTTGGTGCTTGGCTTGTACTAAGCAGGCTCAGATGGACTGAGCATGCTCAGTAACATCTGCTGAAGCCACTGCCCTCACTGTGCCCACTATGGGCAGGCATGGATCGCCTCTGGGGGACAAACTCATGGTGGGTTTTTTTGTTTTTGTTTTTTGTTTTTTTGTTAAAAAGTGGGGGGCCTGGCTCTCCCACTTTTAAAAGTGTGTGTGGGGGGGGGCATTGCCCACTGCTCCCTTTCCCAGTTCCAGCGCCATTGCTTCCCAGAATAGAGTCCTCCATCTTCTAAGTGTGACCTACATTCTTTTCTCCTAAATGTATACATTACATGTAGCTGTATTAAAACGCATGTTATTTGCTTGTGCCCGGCTTACTGAGTCTTCCAGATTGCTCTGTATCAGTGACCTGGCCTCTATATCATTGTTGATAACTTCAAGGTATTTTCTATTTTATTTTATACATACCAAGTTATAAAAGAAATAATCCCACGTGTCATTTGTGCTTTACTATCCAAACTGGTCTTTATGTCAGTCATTATGTTTAAGTACCTTATATTTAATAGAGGGATGGCATTCCATGGTAGCAAATGTTTTTGCAGGGTATTATGGAGAAGAATATTTCCAACATACTATCCAGTCATTTTTCTTATATTTGCATTAGTCATTGAAATTACATCTTCCTTAGAGTATTTATTTTATTTTGTATCTGTAGTAAGCTGTGACATAAATGGAAATATTGATAACTATATTCTAGTCTGGGAAAAACTCTGAAACACAGCTATTAAATAAAGGTCACTGATGAGAAGGAAACAGAGTTCTCTCTTTGATATTTATAAATGATTAATTATTCTTAGTCTGACTTATCCATGTCAGTTTCAATGATGTTGCTTTAGAAAATCCATTAGGAAAAAGAAGAAACTAGTTTATCGAATCAAATGGGTATGACTAAGAGGGACTACCATCCATTGTTTGTTTATAAAAATATTCTGTGATCAGTTCCTATTTTGCTCTCTACATTGGTCTTTTGAAATTTCCTTCAAGATGTTTAGAATGGAGTTGCTGCTCTTTCCCTGGTCTTTTCAATTCAGAGGATTTGCAACAACAAAGACAGATGACAAGCTTGTCTCAATTAGTTTGCCAGTTTACCTGAAAAGTATGAGCTCAGTTCTTCGCCTCTCAGGACAAATCCTGCTTTTAACGAACAGGATAGTCCAAGTAACTAATATACTCCCACTAACTTTAATGGGAGATGAAGGGGAATTTTAATGAGCGATTTTTGGCTGGTATTTTCTGTTGAAACACCTTTTCCAGCTTCCCATGTTTCACAACAAGAACAGGAGCATAATACAGGTTCCCATGCTTTGTTTGCCTTAAGGATACTGGTTGCAAATCCATGTGATGCAGCATCCATACATTGCCTCATCTTCTGCGGTATCAATTACTTTTCCTGCTGAAGCCTGCTGTCACCATCATGTAGCTTACAATCTAAGATAGACAAGACATAGGGCAACAGTTCGGGTAAATGAGGACACAGAAAGCTTATTGGTTAGAGGACAAGGATCACTTCTTCACAGGAAGTAGTGGGTTTTAATGGGAATAGAAAGCACTTGATGGACCAGGTTGAAGTTCAAATACTAACTTTCCATTTCTAATGACACACTCTTTAGATGCTATCTATATATATTTTAAGAATTTTTGAAATTTAGATTCAGCAAGGTGCAGCTTTAGAAAAGTGTACATGCACAGTTTTAACTAGCCTTTAGAATTCCATGATTCAGCTTTGGTGTCACTTTCTGCATCATGAGTGAAAAGTTTCTATGGTGGATATTTATAAAACTCTGCTGTAGAAATCTGAAAAATAAAATACTTGCTATAACCTCAGCACTTTAAAGCATGGTTTTGAATACATACATCCTCTTTTACTTTATTTTTGATGGTCTAGTAATGGGTCTTATTAATGTTTAGTGGGATGATTCTTTCATTTTTGTATTGTTCTTTTAATGGCTTCAAAAAGACTATATTACAAACTCCAGGAAAATGACATGCTTAGTAGAGCTTTCAAAGATTCAGCATGGATGCAGAGATAAAGCTTTTGTATCGGGGTATTTAATATGTAGGGGTTTCTACCGCACTCATCACCATAGTATTTTGATTGCGTCCAGGCTAACTTTAAGAACACCTCCTGTAAACTTTTGAAATAATTGAAAAAGGTGACAGTTTGTGTGTAAGGGATTTTTGAAGGAGAGAGAAGACTTTTTATATTTAAAGATTTAAATGAAACAAATCCTATTCCTTATCTTTATTTATTTCACCCCTTCTTCGCTGCACTTCCTGTTTTGTTTTTTAAAGATCTTTGGTAATACCTCTTAAGTACTGGAAGGAAAGAGGCAATTTGGCATTTCTCAAAGCAGGTTTTAAAATAGTTTCTAATGTTGATCCTTAATTTCATAGTAATGCTACAAAGCATGATAAGCTGCTAGTCCTGATTATTGTATTTTTCCAATATTTAATTTACTGATGGTTAATTTACTTGAGTGGAGTATTGGCAGTGATTGTAAGTATATCCAGCCAACTGGTCTCATTCCACTGAAGGATTTACTAGTGGAAAATCAGGGAAAGACATGTTTATTTTATACATTTTATTACAGTTTTGTTGAGACACACAGAGTATTGTTAAGGAGAATCCAAGATATAGAGCTGTTAAATTCCCAGTTGCATTCTTGATGACTTATGGTCACTTAAGGCCAGTTAGCCCTTTTCACAGGAATAAACAAGTTTAGTCCCTGGGTCCTGACCAAATTCCATTCTGGGAATTATATTCTGCCTACCAAAATTTCCCTGCAGATGAATTTGGAAAATTCATTTTATTTGCTATCCTAAATTGTTTAGTGTTACTATGCATTGACCCACAGTTGGCTCACTTTTCCCCAGGGGTGACTGAATAACAATGATGGACTATTCGTGTGTGTACAGTGTGGCAAAGTTTTAGTTTGTTTGTAAAACACTTTGGAATCCTTCAGGATGAGAGGTTTTATCGGCTGTTTTATATAATTATCACTCAACCTTGCTTATATATAAAAAAACTGTATGTTTAAAGCTTGTTTATCCTTAGGTCAAGCAGACCTAGTGATGGAGGTGAAAATTGATGGATAATGGGTGACAGACCTGCTTTACACTAGAAGTTCTGTGTTTTGCTATAGGCAAGCTACTTCTCATCTTTATGTTTGTAACTAATGTCTCATTTTGGTAATGTTCTCCACTATATTTCTTCATTTATTATGTGGCTTGGGGATTTTGTGTTGATGAAATCTTAATCCATATATTTCTGTTTTTTCTCTCTCCTGTTTTTAGGTTATTGGAATATTGGATGTGTTCACACCAGATGTAACACTGGAGAAATTTAATGATTTGTAAGTTTTTGATTCTATGGGAAATCGTAGGCATTAGATTATGGTTTATTTCTGAATTTCACTTTAATGTAAGTATTATGTGCATATCTATAAAATTTCAAAGGATTGTAAGAGAGTTAGGTGCCTACCTGCCATTGAAACTCCATGGGAATTGGTACATCCCTCCCTTAGGCACCTTTGAAAATCCTAGGCTTAACGTATTGATTTCATATCAGAGAAACAAAGGGCGAAATTCTGATGTGCATCTAGAGTAAACCCATTACCTTCAGTAGATTGTAGTATGTTTCCTCTATTATACCTGGGATCAGAATCGGATCCAAAATGTTTTGAAATCACTCCTCTGGTAATACATTCTATCCCATGTTGTTTAAAAATACAAAGTTAAAAATAAAACAGTAGAAAACGAAACACAAAAATTGGGTTAAGCCCAAACATGTGGACTGAGTGCCCCCTCTACCCACACATGCCTTTGAGGCAGAGACCTTACAGTCTAATGTGCCTAGCAGGCTGGGTAAAACATCACCCAGGAGTTTTGAGGGTGCAAGAGGCAGATAGAGGCTTCTTTTAATTATTAGAAGTGCAGCAGTCTGCTGCAAATGTGTTGTAAGCAAGTACAAATGTGTTTACAGTTAAAACAGAAATGAGGGGAAGCTTTTGTGCATTAAAGGTCAGATGAGTCATTCAAGGGGAGATTTGATTGTTTACATTTTGCTAGCTAGTCATGTGGGAGCTTGTTTGGTCTGTGATATGAATTTGATCTTACTATAATGCAGCTGCCTCGTGGCTAGAAACAGCAGTGCTGGGTCAGGCAGTTCCACCATTGCCAGTCCCCTGGGGTGTTATTTCTGTGTGAATCCTTTAGAATTGGAAGGAGCATACGCTGATGTGGCTCCTACTCCTTTTTAGAGGGAAGGATACACTTAGGTCTGCCATCAGTATCAATCTGCCAGACAATGTGGAAGAGGTATTGGAGCTAAAGCCCACCCCTTCTGAGACCCCACGTGCTCTCCCAGGTGGCACCTGACCATTTCCCCCACATACCCACCCCTCCCCAGCCCTTTACCTCAAGAAGTGCGAAGATAGGACCCTGATCCTGCAAAGATTCATGCTTACGTTGAACTTTCTGCACTGTGAGTAGTTGTGTTGCTTTATTAGGGCTACCCATGGAACATACAATTAATTTTATCATAGAATCGTAGGACTGGAAAGGACCTTGAGAGGTCATCTAGTCCAGTTCCCTGCACTCATGGCAGGACTAAGTATTATCTCTCCATCCCTGACAGGTGTTTGTCTAACCTACTCTTAAAAATCTCCAATGATGGAGATTCCACAACCTCCTTGGGCAATTTATTCCAGTGCTTAACCATCCTGACAGTTAAGACGTTTTTCCTAATATCCAACCTAAACCGCTCTTGCTGCAATTTAAGCCCACTGTTTCTTGTCCTATCCTCAGAGGTTCAGGAGAATAACTTCCCCCCTGCTCCTTGTAACAACCTTTGATGTACTTGAAAACTGTTATCATGCCCCCTCTCAGTCTCCTCTTCTCCAAACTAAACAAACCCAATTTTTTCAATCTTCCCTCAGAGGTCATGTTTTCTAAACCTTTAATAATTTTTGTTGCTCTTCTCTGGACTTTCTCCAATTTGTCCACATCTTTCCTGAAATGTGGCGCCCAGAATTGGACACAGTAATCCAGTTGAGGCCTAATCAGGGTGGAGAAGAGCGTAAGAATTGCTTCTTGTGTCTTGCTTACAACACTCCTGCTAATACATCCCAGAATGATGTTCACTTTTTTTGCAACAGTGTTACACTGTTCACTCACATTTAGTTTGTGACTCACTATGACTCCCAGATCCTTCTCTGCAGTACTCCTTCTCAGGCAGTCATCTCCCATCTAGTATGTGTGCAACTGATTGTTCCTTCCTCAGTGGAGTACTTTGCATTTGTCATTATTGAAATTCATCCTATTTTCTTCAGACCATTTCTCCAGTTTGTCCCGATCATTTTGAATTTTAATTCTGTCCTCCAAAGCACTTTCAACCCCTCCCAACTTGGTATCGCCGCAAATTTTATAAGTGTACACTCTATGCCATTATCTAAATAATTGATGAAGATATTGAACAGAACTGGACCCGGAACTGATTCCTGCAGGACCCCACTCGTTATGCCCTTCCAGCTTGACTGTGAACCACTGATAACTACTCTCTGGGAATGGTATTCCAACCAGTTATGCACCTACCTTACAGTAGCTCCATCTAGATTGTATTTCCCTAGTTTGTTTATGAGAAGGTCATGTGAGAGAGTATCAAAAGCCTTACTAAAGTCAAGATATACTGCATCTACCGCTTCTCCCCTATCCACAAGGCTTGTTACCCTGTCAGAGAAAGCTATTAGGGTGGTTTGACATGATTTGTTCTTGACAAATCCATGCTGATTGTAACTTATCACCTCATTATCTTCTAGGTGTCTGCAAATTGATTGCTTAATTATTTGCTCCATTATCTTTCCAGGTACTGAAGTTAAGTTGACTGGTCTGTAATTCCCATGATTTCCCTTTTTATAGATAGGCACTATATATGCCCTTTTCCAGTTCTCTGGAATCTCTCCCGTCTTCCATGACTTTTTGAAGATAATCGCTAATGGCTCAGATACCCCATCAGTCAGCTCCTTGAGTATTCTAGGATGTATTTCATCAGGCCCCAGTGACTTGAAGACATCTAACTTGTCTTAGTAACTTTTAACTTGTTCTTACCCTATTTTAGCCTCTGATTCTACCTCATTTTCACTGGCATTCACTATGTTAGACATCCAATCATTACTAATCTTTTTGGTGAAAACTGAAAGAAAAAAGTCATTTCATATTTCTGCCATTTCCACATTTACTGTTATTATTTCCCCCTCCCCTCATTGAGTCATGGGCCTACCCTGTCCTTGGCCTTCCTCTTGCTTCTAAGGTATTTATAGAATATTTTCTAGTTACCCTCTATGTCTTTAGCTAGTGTGATGGGGCAAGGCCAGATGGCTACAGTAAAGTAGTGAGGAACAGGTATGTTAGCCCCAGGCTAAACAAATCCCTGGTACCATGGTAACCAAATGGCAGTTGCTCCAGGTTAATCAAGACACCTGGGGCCAATTAAGATCCTTCTAGAAGGTAGTGGAGCTGTGCTGTTGGAGGAACGAAATAGTACGAATCCATATCAGGTGCAAGGAAGGAGGCCCTGAGGTAATTGTGAAGAAGATATTGAGTGGGGGGCTGCTGTGCGGAAGTAGCCCAGGGAATTGTACACGTCCTATTTCCAAAAAGTCAGCTTCCACAGCTGTTAATTTTAGGGTCCCTGGGCTGGAGCATGGAGTAGAGGGTGGGCCCGGGCTCCCCCCTCCCCTCCCTGATTAATCACTGAAACTGGGAGACAACAGAGACTGTGCGAGGGAGGGTTGTTTCTCCTTACCTCCCTTGCTGGCTTATGATGAAAATGGCTCAGTAGACTGTGACCCTTGCCTCTAGAGAGAGAAGGGCTATGTGGAGGGTCCCAGTGAGCCTCTGAGACTAGCAAAATCCATCAGGAAACGCAGGACCCACGGAGTCAAGGACAGAACTTTGTCACACTAGTTTAATCTCATTTCGTGCCTTGGCCTTTCTAATTTTGTCCCTACGTATCTGTGTTATTTGTTTATATTCATCCTTTGTAATTTGACCTAGTTTTCACTTTTTGTGGGACTTTTTTGAGTTTCAGATCATTGAAGATCTCTTGATTAAGCCAGGGTGGTCTATTGCAGGGATCAGCAACCTTTGGCACACGGCTCGCCAGGGTAAGCACCCTGGCGGGCCGGGCCGGTTGTTTACCTGCTGCGTCCACAGGTTCGGCTGATTGCGGCTCCCACCGGCACATCCCTCGGCCTGCACCGCTTCCCGCCGCCCCCATTAGCCTGGAATGGCAAACCCTGGCCAGTGGGAGCCGCGATCGGCCCAACCTGCAGACGTAGCAGGTAAACAAACCGTCTTGGCCCGCCAGGGTGCTTACCCTGGCAAGCCGCGTGCCAAAGGTTGCCGATCCCTGGTCTAGTGCCATACTTCCTATCTTTCCTATACAGTGGGATAGTTTGCTCTTCTGCCCTTAATAATGTCTCTGAAAAACTGCCAACTCTTTTGAATTGTTGTTCCCCTTAGACTTACTTCCCATGGGATCTTACGTACCAACTCCCTGAGTTGCTAAAGTCTGCATTCTTGAAATCCTTTATCTTTTTTGTGCTGTTTTCCCTCCTACCATTCCTTACAATCATGAACTCTACTATTTCATGGCCACTTTTACCTAAGCTGTCTTCCACTTTCAAATTTTCAACCAGTTCCTCCCTATTTGTCAAAATCAAATCTAGAACAGCCTCTCCCCTAGTATCTTTCTCCACTTTCTGAACTAAAATATTGTCTCCAATACATTCCAAGAACTTGTTGGATAATCTGTGACCCACCGTATTATTTTCTGAACAGATGTCTGCATAGTTGAAGTCCCCCATCACCACCAAGTCCTGTGCTTTGGATGATTTTGTTAGTTGTTTAAAAAAAAGCCTCATCCACCTCTTCTTCCATAAGTCTTTGCAGGATCAGAGCCTTGGTCTGTAGTTGCTTCCTGAACAAGTATGGAAGGGGGGGAGGCGAGAATGGGGGACTTTGCACTGTCTCTTGCCTGCTCTTTACTCCTGAGGGAATTCTGCACCAAAAAATTAAAAATTCTGCACCAAAAAAATAAAAGTTCTGTGCAAAATATTTTAAAATTCTGCTCATTTTATTTGTCAATAAATAAATGTGGAGGCTCCAACATGGCAGTGGGGAGCACAGGCCGCTGACTGCACAGAGGTGGGAGATTACCCTGCTTTCCCCACATCTCCCCAGGACATAGACTCAGCAGTGAGGCTGCCCCTGACCCTCACACAGTGAAAGGGCCAGGCCTGCCCCAGAAACGCCCTGGGCCCCTGCCCCTCCACACCAGGCACACCAGGTGTGGGCATGCAGGCTCAGCCTGGCAGGATCTAAGTGCGGAGGGGCTTAGTGTGGGGGAATCCAGGTGTGGGGTGAGAGGGTTCTGTATCGGGCAGTCTGCGAGTGGGTGGCTCAGTGAGGGTCTGGGTGCGGGGGGAAAATCTGGATGTGCAGGGGCTCCGTAGGGGTGTGGGGGGTTCTGGTTACTGGGGGTTGAGGCTTGGTAGACGGTGGTCTGGGTGCAGAGGTGGGGGTCTGGATGCAGAGGGTGAGGTTCAGTAGGGGGGTCCAGGGGGCTTGGTGGTGGGGTTCTGGGTGCAGAAAGTGAAGCTCATTGAGGCGGGTCTGAGTATAGGGGGTCCAGAGGCACAGGGGTTGGGTGAATAGGGGATGGGTCTGACCTGGCCCTGGCTCCTGGAGGGTCTGATCTGGCACCAGCTGGGGTGTCCCCAGACACCCCCCCCCACCCCCAGTGATTTCTCTCTCCAACGACTGCTCTTGGCACCTGAAATGACACGCCTGCACTGCTGGGAAGGGGCACATAACTACTCTTGCTGCTTCCCTTTGCTTCCTTGTCAGAAAGTCATTTTTCTGTAGGGAAGCAAAGAAATGTGTGATGGGTGTGAATTCTGCACACATGCACTGGTGTGGAATTCTCCTAGGAATAGCTCTTGTATCTGCACAGTGGGAACTATAATGTAGTCTGTGGTGTCACTATTTTTGGTGCTGTCAAGTGCTTCTTTATAGCTGCCTGTTTGTAGGGATTAGGCTGGAATTCTTAAAGGAACTTAAGGAAGTTAGGTGCCCAACTCCCCTTGAAATTAATTGGGGGTTTTGCACCTAATGCCATCAGACTCCTTTAAGAACTCCAGTTTTGGAACTAACTATGAGCTTTGTATCCAGTCCAAATAAGCCCAGCATATTTTTAAAGAAATAGAAAATAAAATGAAAACTCAGTCTGAATTGTATCAGTGGTGAATTAATATTAAAATCAACCTTTGTGCGTATTAGTACTCAAATAATAGCTGTGTTTATAAAATTACTGTCAATAAAACAAAGGTCTCTGCTGCTCAGTGAATTTGAACTGGTATGTCTAGATCAGGACTTACCTCCTAATATTCAACTACACTTTTGGAAGTAAAAACATTTAGCAGATAACTATGCAACTGAAGTAAAATATTTTCCTCGATTAATTTCCCTTTCTTCCTTGATGAATGTTGTTATTCCAACAAGCTCCTGGGACCTTGGATTTATAACCAGGTGGTGAATTTTGAGAGCATACAGGAATCTCTAGGATAACATAGAGATAGACCACACAGCCTTAGTTGGGGTGGAATTCTGCCAAAGATGGGCTGGACCGAGTGTCTCAGTTTAGCTATGTCCAGATAACCCTGAGTCAGTCTTGTCTTCTCTTGACTGACGCAATCCTGAAACATGCTGCTTGTGCAGGGCCTTGGAAGAATGAAGCCTATTTATCTATGTAGATTTTAGTGATCTTCGTATCCTAGAGGCATGTTTAAAACAATGTTAAATTGAGGTTTTGTTCTGGAATCCTACATTGCAGCTAATTCCTTTGTCTCTGAACCTTACTGGCCATAACCTGAGACTCCATTGTAATTTGTTTCCAGTAATACCCAGAAATACTGGATATTCAAACTTTCTGTTTTATTGTACCACACCTGTGTGTTTCTCCCAAAAGATTCTTCTTTATCCTGATTCTTAAAAATTCAGAAACATCAAATTTTATGTAGTGTCCCGTCCACCTGTTTACCTCCTTTAGCGCCAATCTCCTTATGTGTTTTGATGGACAGGCCTGGGTTCTTCTGGATCCTGCCATACATTCAGCAGGGTGTAACTTCTTTTTCTTCCCATATGAATTTATTCGATGGTGCCTCCACTCCCTTGCTCCTTCCTGGCAGGGTCACCAGGGCAGCTTGGGAGGAAAATTCTAATCACTGGGTAACCACCACTTACTTGCCAGATAGTTGGAGACTTCCATGAAATAACACAAACACATATAATATATTTAAGACAGTACTTATATTAAACAGAAAATAAATATATTAGGGTAAAATACTATTCTCAGGGTCACGAGGGCCCCTGCAATACCTGTGAATTTCCCCAGTCATGTGACGTGATACAGCAAATGTAAAATTAGTGTCCTGTTGGTGCGCGTACTTTGTAGGGGCTCTTGATGATGTGTGACCACAATATCGTCTGTGCAGCAGTTAGCAATGTGGCTGACTGGGTTCAGTACTGCCCAAGAGACTCACAAGTTGATAATGTGGTAAGTCCCTCTGCAGATCCAATAGGCAGCAGGTAACAAAATTCCAAATCCCTTACCCCCTGTCTTGAAGACACATTTCAGGAAGTGGCAGTGGAACCATTTCAGATTTTGGTCAGGTGGCGCAACTTTTAACTGTGATTCTAGGGGCTTACTTAGGCACTTGAAAACTCTAGTTTTTTGGCAGATAACTTAACAATTCGCTGACAGAAGCACTGTATTTAATTCCTACATGAAAGAAACAAAATTAAATAAATATTGGACCCACTCAGCGCTAATACTAACGTGTTCTGACATCTTGTGGCAAGTCACTTAAGGGACATATTCTTACTTTGTTACTAACTCTGTGGATAGAGAGCTCCCATCAGGATTCCTGGGTTCTGTCTCAGCTCTGGGAGGGGAGTGGGGTCTAGTGGGTTACAGTGGGAGGCACATACATCTGGGATCTATATAAGAACATCAGAATGACCATACAGGGAAGACCAATGGTCCATCTAGCCCAATATCCTGTCTTCCAACAGTGACCAATATCAGATGCTTCAGAGGGAATGAACAGAACATGGCAATCATCAAAATGATTCATCCCATTGCCCATTCCCAGCTTCTGGCAAAGAGAGGTTAGGGACATGCAGAATATGGTGTTTGATCACTGCGCCGCCCCACCTCCCCCTCCGAGCTAATAGCCATTGATGGACCTATCCTCCATGAACAGGAGGAAACTGGAAGTCACCTTTGGAGAGGGAAAGGCCCAAGCTGAAGGACCTTGCTTTCAGGTCCCTAGAGGCCAGTCCTGCCCTTTCCCTGGCTGGTGTGGCCTCTGGGAGGGGCGGGGCAGGGCCAGGGTGTTCAGGTTTGTGCTATTAGAAAGTTGTCAACCCTACCCCTTTCACATAGCAAACTTATTAGTGCGACCACCCTTATAAATTAAAAACTTTTTTTTTATATTTAATACTATTATAAATGCTGGAGGTGAAACAGAGCTTGGGGATAGAGGCTGACGCTCGCGACCCCTCACATAATAACATGAACCCCTGAGGGGTCATGACCCCCAGTTTGAGAACCCCTGAATCAGTGCTTCTGAATCCCTTCAGCATGTTTGAATATCTCTAATAATAATAATAATTAGTAATTAATAACAAAAATATCGTTAGTAAATCCACTAGATTTTTTCCTTAAAACCTATGTTTTTGCTAGAACATTCAGTAAGTTCTTTCTAGCTCACTTCAAATATTCATGGCCTCTCGATAATTGACTTTGATAAGATTGTGGAAAAAATAATATGTCCATCTATGCTTTCATTGTTCAGAAACACCAATATATTTGAGGTTAAAATCTATTGTCTAGGTCATCCACTTTATCAGTGAGACATGTTTTTTCATGTGCCATAAATATACTGATAGAGAGCAGAGAGGTTTCATTCTCTGCTCCTCCACTTATCTTCTGTTTCTCCACATTGTACTTGAATTAAATTGCTTAAACTTTGCACCAAAGGAAGTCTGAGGGAGTTAGGTGCTTAATCCCATTGAAAGGGATTTAGGAGCCTCATTCCCTTAGGCTCTTTTGAAAATTCCAGCCAAAATTCTTTGGAACTACCTTATTGTCCCCTTTCTCTGTGATTTACGATTCAATGTCTGTTGCTCTTTCTTTAATTTGAGAATCAAATTTTCTATTTCTCTCTTAATGACATTGATGCTGTGTGGCAAACCTCAGTTATTGTAAGACTGAACATAAAATATTGAAACTCCATAGATTTTAAACAAAGAAAAACCCTTTAAGACAAATTGGTGAAATCTTTATAGCTCAGACAATGACCAAATGTATTTCTATACTTCATAATTGGGTCTAGTTTTCATTATATGCAGGTGCAGCCTTAAGGTTTGATCCTTAAATTGCTGGCAGTGTATTTGGCTATATTAGTTGCTATAGGCTGGCCCTCCTGTCAAAGTTAGACATCAGGCTAGATTCTGAATTGTGAGCTTACTGAAGGCCCTCAGAAACATGAGGTCCCAAACTGTCCCATTCTTAAGGCTAGGCCTGAAATATCAACTTGACATACAGCAATAGTTCTCAGCCTTTTCTGTACCTGGATTCCCTTCCCATTTAGAAATATGGGAAGTGCAGGGTGGTCATGACCCCCTGATACTTTTTCATGACCTCCAGGTTGAGAAATCATGCCTCACAGTAATACCCTCTTCTGACTTTGATCAGATCTTGTTCCCGTCACTTTGACTGAGGTATGTAGTTGACCTTGTTATGGATAGTACCCACTGGTTTTCATAACTCATGATAGTTCTTTTTAGGTAAACAATGTGTAAATTACGGAGCTTTCTATCTAGTTATCTTTTAAGCACACAAAGATCTTCCTTGGGCTCTTTTATCTTGTTCAGAATTTGTCATTTCCTGTTAATTGACAACATCTATAACCAGTGATTGAGTTACTCAGTACCTGCTTCAGGCAATCATAATTGATAAAAATAAAGCATGGAAGTCATATTATTTTTAGTAGAAATTATTTGGTTCTAGAAGTATTTAATTAAATGGGAGATCAAATTAACCAGTAGCTTAATTAAATGGTAAGAACTGTAATTTCTAATTATCATTGAGATATAACGTATGGGTATGTTTCACTTTGACAAACTTCATGGAGTTATTTTGTACTCGATTTTCTTTAGCTACCTAGTCATGCCGTTTATGGGAACAGACTTGAGTAAGATAATGAAGCATGAGAAACTAACTGAAGATCGAATCCAGTTCCTGGTCTATCAAATGTTAAAGGGCCTAAAGGTTTGCCATTTTTATTACTTTCTTACTTTCACACGTTAAATTTTTTCAGAAAGTTGATTTAGAGAGCTGCATACATTTTTTAGTATTTGAAAGATGAGCAAAATTTAATCTCCCTATAGACATTGTGAGCTCTGGAATTCCCCACAATGGATGTGTTTCTTGATGATGAATATTTGCTTATATTTTTTCAAAAATCACGTGTGGGGGTTGGAGTGTGAGTCCCTTGTCCTGATGATTTTGTAGTTGCAAATATATTTGATGCACGCAGACTCTCTTGTAGGCCATCAACACTTTTATTTTAACAAGCCAGAAAAGTCACTACTATGATTTTAGTCCATCCTCCTCCAGCAGTTGATTGTGCTGCTTCTTTGGCACACCTAGCCCCTGCTAGCTGAGGTAATTAGAAACTAGGGGTGAAATCCTTGCCCTGTGGAAGACAATGGCACTGATTTCAATGGGGCCAGGATTTGATCCCAAGCCAAGAATCAAACTTGGATTTCACATATGGCGGTGCAGAGCACCAGGTTACATGGTCAGTTTTAAAAGTCTCCTATTTGCTAATCTGCAGATTTTGTCAAAGTCAGTTTAAAGTGCTGTGGTTAAGAGAACAGTGCTTTTCCCCTGCTGTATCTACTGGAGATGTGACATCAGATGTGATGCCTTTCCAGTTTTTGCTTTCATGTTAGTTCTGTTTATTTTAATTAACTATCTCTGGGGATCTCCTTTCATGCTCATATTACCTATGCTTATTGTAAATTTGTTTTAATTCCTTTTTGATAAGATGAACAGAGACCTTTAGGCATGGACATCCCAGAGTAAAGACCTGCCCTTGTGAGGTGCTGAGCTTCCTTGACTCCCACTAGAGTTAATGGGAGTTGAGAGCCCTCAGCCTCTTACAGAATTGGGCCCCAATTCAGCAAGGCACTAAAGCACATGCCTCACTTTAAGCACATGACTCAATGGGATTGCTCACAGGCTTAATTACCTTGACTAATCAGGGTTCTAACATTACCTGTGAAATTCTAAAATATACTTCCACCTCGTAACGTTTTATGTAGCCTTTCCCTATAGATCTGAAGGATCTCTGAAGTCTACTAGCATGAGATGGTGGGGTGGCTTGGTGTAGAGAAAAAACACGCTAACACACACTCTGGATTTTTAGTGACAAATTAATGTGTAATGTGGCTGAGAGAAGCTAGAACTTCTTCAAAACCTCTCTCATCCCTCCACCCCCCAAAAAGAAGTCAACCGTCTGTACAGAAAAATTGTAAATGATGGGGGAGGAAAGATGCTGGAAAAGTATCCATTGAAACAGCATCACTTTTCAATGATTTTTGGGAACATAGTTTGATACTATCTCAGGGTTTGATATTTTTATTTGATAATGGACATATTCATAAATTTTAAGGCTAGAAAGGACCATTGTGATCAACTAGTCTGACCTCCTGCAGAATACAGGCTATAGAATTTCACTGTTTCCTGTATTAAGCCCATATCTTATCATTGAGCTAAAGCATTTTTTTTAAAAGACATCTAATTTTGATTTAAAGACCTCAAGTGTTGAAGAAATTTCCACATCCCTAGGTAAGTTGTTCCAGTGGTTAATTACTCTCACTGTTTAAAAAATTCCGTCTTGTTTCTAGCCTGAATTTATCTAACTTCAGCTTCCAGTCATTGGATCGTGTTTATACCTTTGTCTGATAGATTATAGAGCCTTCTGCTATCAGAAATATTCTTCATATGTACTGTCTTTTAATAATGATGCTGTTTATAAATGACTGTGGATCACCTCTGAAGTATCCAGTCTCATATACTAAACTGCTGTACAATGTGTATGTTTGTCTTTCCCTCATTTCAGCTAAATAAACAGATTTCCATCTTCATTGTTCTCTGTTTTGTTTCACCTGGCTTTCATAAGAACAGCCATACTGGATCAGACCAAAGGTCCATCTAGCCCAGTATCCTGTTTTCCAACAGTGACCAATGCCAGGTGCCCCAGAGGGAATGAACAAGTGATCCATCCCCTGTCGCCCATTCCCAGCTTCTGGCAAACGGAGGCTAGGAACACCATCCTCGCCTATCCTGGCTAGTAGCCAGTGATGGACGTATCCTCCATGAAGATATCTAGTTCTTTTTTGAACCCTGTCTTGGCCTTCACAACATCCTCTGGCAAAGAGTTCCACAGTTGTCTGGGCGTTGTGTGAAAAAATACTTCCTTTTGTTTGTTTTAAACCTGCTACCAATTAATTTCATTGGGTGACCCCTAGTTCTTGTGTTATGAGAAGGAGTAAATAACACTTCCTTATTTACTTTCTCCACACCAGTCATAATTTTATAGACCTCTATCATATCCACCCTTAGTTGTCTCGTTTCCAAGCTGAAATGTCTCAGTCTTATTAATCTCTCCTCATATGGCAGCCGTTCCATACCCCTAATCATTTTTCTTGTCCTTTTCTGAACCTTTTCCAATTCCAATATACCTTTTTTGAGATGGGGTGACCACATCTGCATGCAGCATTCAAGATGTGGGCATACCATGGATTTATATAGAGGCAATATGATATTTTCTGTCTTATTATCACAAAATAGACAATGATCATTAACATTCTATTTTTAAACCATGAATGATAAAAAAAAAAAACAGAAAAATATTTTTGAACTCCCATGTTTCTGAATGATTCCTATAAATGAAAGATTAGAATCCGTCTCATTCTAGATTAGGAATGCAAATGAAAACGTTGACTCTAACTTTTAAATTACAGTGTGTGTTGTTTTGGTTTTTAAGTATGTTGTTTATCATAAAGGTTTATTTTTTGTTGTTTCCTTCTAGTGAAAGCTGTGCATCCAAAAGGAGAGAGCTTCCTTATAAAAGATGCTGTATTCTGTCCTTATTAACACGCTGTGCTTCAACAACAATTTTAGCATACAGTTGAGATTTGATTGCTGAAAGTGCTTTGACCTAGTTTGGCAGGCTGAAACCTGTCTTTCCTACAGTGACAGCCATTTCTGTAGAATTGAATTCCCTTCACCCTGGGAGACAAACTCTAACAAGGCCATAGAATAGCAGAATTTTGAATTAGATGTATATTTTTGGCGATTCCGTGAATGTTTGGTCTTTAAGGCCTGGATCCTGCAATTTACAACACACAAGAAGAGCCTTGCACTCATGCAGCGTTTCACTGAAGTTAATATGGGTGGAGTGGATCCCCCTGTGCTTTGTAAACTGCAGAATCAAGCCCTAAATGAGACAGGCATATCATGTCTGATCAGATTCTAACCAGCTTTTCTTCCTAATTTACATTGGACCTTTCAAACATTTGAAACCAAAAGAACAGGACACATTGTGGCTGGATTCTCTGGTGATGGGTGCCTAGGAGTGCTGTTTTCCCCTCCCCTCTGACCTCACTCCACTACTTCGTACATTTACCCCTTTGTGTCTGTATTGTTTTCTCCTGTCTCCAGATTTAGTGTATATATTTTTATCTTGTCCCTCATTTATTCATTTGCCCCTGGCTCCAAGTAAAAAGGTTTGTGCTCAAGGGTTTCATGAATGTTAAAAGACCAGCCTGAGTTGACAGTAGTGGGGTAGATGGGATCTTCAGGGGGAAAAATGAATTATGAATTTCCAACTGTAGGGCTTGATTTACCTTTTTAGGATATCTTCATAAGGAAAAGGGCTAGAAACGTACTGTGAAAAAAAATACATAGATTAGCCCTGACATATTTAGGCCCCTACAATCATAGAGCACCCACAGGAGTAGGCTTTGTGAGCCCCAAAGGATGTCTTTGTCTCTGCTAATCAGATGCACTACATTCATAGGAAGCTGGGAAAGCAGGTGTGAAGTGCTGATGTATGAAGCAGTCAAAGCAGTACACTGGGTAAAGAGGAAATGGGAGGACGCTCCTTAGGTGACCTGGCATCCCAGGGTTTGGAGAAACTGGGGCATTCCAGTTCCAGCAAATCTTGCAGAGATGCTGAGATAATCCTAGTAAACCAGTATAGCTCGATACCCTAATCTTACTGTATCTTTCAATAGAAATTATTCCCTTGACTATTTGCAAAACTGCTTTCCATCTGGTCATATGGAGGAGTGCATCTCTAATAACCTCAGCATTATCAGCAAAAACGTACGGCTTTATTCATCCATTAATTTTTGATGTTTTAGTACTTTCATATTGTGAGTCAGACATTCAACAATAATCTTTACTACTTCACCTGTCATTTATGTCACTATACTTTGGATCTTTCTCCCTGCAATAATTCACTCTGAGCAAGCACTGTGTCTAGCTGGAAAAGTCTCCAAGGAACTGATCTAAAAGCAGGAACATTGCAGTGCTGTTTGTCTGAGTGACACTCCCACAGCACCAGCCCTTGTTACGTTAGACTCAACTTAGTGCTATTAGACTCTTGTTTTCATGAATACTAAATTCAGTCATTCCCTTTTTGTCCCCTTAAAAAATATTCCCTAGACTTCACTTTGCAAACTCCCTTGCCATATCTTCCTGTATTGATTATACTCTAAACTGCTCAAAGGAGTTGGTCCAAAAACCGTTGAAGTCAGTGGGAAGATTCATATTTGGATCAGGCTCCTTACTCTGCCCTTATATTTTATGTGCAGCCAAGAACACTTATTATCAGGTGACTGATGATGAAGAGTTTACCAACAGGGTGCAGTAACTTACTGAACTGAATTTGCATAGAGTACCAAAATTTGCCTTTTAGCTATTCCCAAGGTTCCTGTACTACAAATCAATTTGTTCACCCTAATCAGAGAAACAAGACCAGTTGTTAAGATGAAATCGTGACAATGTTGTGAGGGAAATGACTGATATGGTCTAAATCTCTCTGCTAATAGATACTTTTATGAGAGAATGGGTAAAAATCCATAATAGGAGAGTGCAAAATCCCATTTTAGAGAGCGACTCCGTCAAAATGAAAATATTCTGAACTAAGCTGGAGTAGTATTGGGGTACACTGCAGTGTAGATTCAAATATCTTGATTCACAAAAAAACGAACATTTATAAAAGAAACCTGGCATCAGAAATGAAGTGCTAAATAATTTGGTCTCACCATCTCTCTATTAAGAAGAGTGTTTAGTAAACATGTAAATTATATCCAACGTGTTTAAATGAGTTGTTTATTTTCCTCCTTTGCATTTCTAACACTCATTCCTGGGTATGGTGAGGGAGAGACCGTTAGCGAAAGTAGGATGTTTAAGGAAAACTATTCTCTTCTCTGAAGGTGGTTGAGGCCCATTTTTACTAAAGCTCCCGAGGCTGAAATTCTTTTACAATTCCTGTTTCTAGATCCCACGTTCTTGTGCAAAAGTCCCTAGGTCTTCTGTTTACTTCCCGACTATGTACAGTTTTGCACTCTGTCTTAGCATCTGAAGTATTAGGGGATTCAGTGAGAAGACATTAAGAAACAATTTGGAATGTATATGGTCACTGTGACATGCTTGTTGCTCAAAAATTAAACCTGCCATTGGCGGGAGATGTCTACCCTTTCCTTGTTACCGGTCTTTGCTGGGAGTCTGACTGCGAACAAATACTTTCCATAGGAATACTCTCAGGACTCTGTACCCAAGTGACAGGACTTCCTCTTGTTTAAGCAGTCTTCTCTCATCCTGATATACTTCACCCTTCCATCCACGAAATAAATAGCACTTCACAGTTTCCAGTCTCCTCCAGTCAGTGGTAGAAGTAGTGCTACAGGCTATGTTCCATGGCACCAACGTCTTCTCTCTACAGTAGTCAGTTCTTTGGAAGGGAGTATGGGAGGTGGTTTTTCACTCCCTAGTGATGGTGCTGGAACTGTCTGATCTGCAGGCAATTCACAAATGGAACTGATCCTCCAGCTGAAAATGTCCAGTATATGTGGTCCCTCTCCCAGGCCTACTCATTTATTGTGGCATTTCATAGAATCATAGAATATCAGGGTTGGAAGGGACCTCAAGAGGTCATCTAGTCCAACCCCCTGCTCAAAGCAGGACCAATTCCCAACTAAATCATCCCAGCCAGGGCTTTGTCAAGCCGGGCCTTAAAAACCTCCAAGGAAGGAGACTCCACCACCTCCCTAGGTAACGCATTCCAGTGCTTCACCACCCTCCTAGTGAAATAGTGTTTCCTAATATCCAACCTGGACCTCCCCCACTGCAACTTGAGACCATTGCTCCTTGTTCTGTCATCTGCCACCACTGAGAACAGTCAAGCTCCATCCTCTTTGGAACCCCCGTTCAGGTAGTTGAAGGCTGCTATCAAATCCCCCCTCATTCTTCTCTTCTGGAGACTAAACAATCCCAGTTCCCTCAGCCTCTCCTCATAAGTCATGTGCTCCAGACCCCTAATCATTTTTGTTGCCCTCCGCTGGACTCTTTCCAATTTTTCCACATCCTTCTTGTAGTGTGGGGCCCAAAACTGGACACAGTATTCCAGATGAGGCCTCACCAATGTCGAATAAAGGGGAACGATCACGTTCCTCGATCTGCTGGCAATGCCCCTACTTATACAGCCCAAAATGCCGTTAGCCTTCTTGGCAACAAGAGCACACTGTTGACTCATATCCAGCTTCTCGTCCTTTCTTGTTATGACTCGTCTTGCACCCTCTGCTCATATTATGTCAAAACAAGAAACTATTTTATAATCGCATCAGCTAAGGGTGGTCTAGGAGAACATAAAGCCAAGGGCAGACAGATATGTCCCAATATGAAAGCAGCACTAGGAATGCAAAGATGGGGCTTGTAAACTCACTACTGTAAGCAGTTCAAGAGCAGGCTGGCTTTCAAAACAAGTTATGTCAGGTGAGAGAGAGGGAACCTCTGTGTAATGTGGTAGGATGAGGAGTTATTTAGTCTTTGCAATGGGCAGAGATAAAATGGACTCTGAACAGCATTGCTCTAAAATTGTATGTCTGGCTGCATGGGAAGCTTGTGTTCTTGCTGTACTACACTGGGCCTGATCTTCAAGTAGGGGTACAGGTCACTGGATTCCAGTACTGACTCTTAGATTTCATACATGGAAAAGAAAAAAAAACAATTTTTTGTCCATGAAGGTTTGTTTCCTCTTGCACTAAATGCTATAATAGTAGCTAACTATATAATCTTAATTTCTAGATCCTTAAATGATCTGATGTATCCATTGAAATACAACAAAGGGAAAAAAGATCACAAAACCAATACATGCATGGGAGGCATTTCATCTTGTCATATTATTCTGGTTTTTAAGCAGCGTACACCTTGAAATACTAGTTCCTGTGCTGGTCTGTTTCCTGTAAAAAGAGATCTAAAACTAAAATACACAATATGTTTGCTGAGGAAGATGGCTAGGACACCAATTAGGGTTGCCAATTTTGATTGGACCTATTCCTGGAGGTTTCATCACATGACATAATCGTTAATTAAAGATTAATTAACCTTATAGACATGCATCCGACGAAGTGGGTATTCACCCACGAAAGCTCATGCTCCAATACGTCTGTTAGTCTATAAGGTGCCACAGGACTCTTTGCTGCTTTTCCAAAGCTCTAGCCCTTGGACCTCCATTATGTTGAGTTATGTGTGTTTTGAAAACTTGAGCATCCTCACACAGAGCCCTGGAAAGATGATGAAAATATTCCAATAAGGTAAAATGCTTTTTTAAGATTACTTTCAGGTTTGTTTGCATTCAGGCCTTTATTCTGGAAAGGATACCTATTCAGGAAGGGTGCTTAAGCACATGCTTAAAGCTGAGCATCTGCTTTCCTAAAGCTAAATTTGTGCTTAAATCTGATGACTGCAGTCGTACAGCACATGCTTTCCTCAATCTGGGGTTTACCAGAGGCATCTGAACCTAAACTGTGATTGTGCAGTTTAGATTTCTGTTGTAGCTAGCTCAGGAATTTACAGTAAGTAAACAATAGGATTTATTTTAATCCATATATTTCACAGCCCAATTTCAGGATGATTTTATTTTTCTAACAATACCAGAGAGTTTCTGGACACAAAAATGATTTATGAGGAAATTAAAAGTGAGGAAACATGGTGACCTGATTCAGTATCAATATTCAAATAGAGCTACAGAAATAATGATTATAGGTTGAAAAAAGCAGCAGCTTTATACTTGAGACTTTCTTTAGAAAGCAAAAATAATCTTATACCTTAAATTTAGTTTTAGGAGTCCAGTGTGACCTTCTCTAAAATCATTCTCTAATCTCTCTGGCAGGAAATCCATAGGGCAAATGAGTTGCAATTGTGTCATAAAATGAATACACTTTTATTTTTTTCTTTGAATATTTGATGTAAAGATGTGTAAACCTGATTATCACCTGCCTCTAACATTGTGATCTCTCTTCACTTATCTACTTGGCATCTAATGATATTTCAATTTTTTAATATGACAGTACATTTGATTGCCTCATTGTTTTCTAAAAAGTGTATTATTAATTTCAGATCACTTCAGCACCACATAGGGCCAATTTTTGCAGCAGAACTGAAATAATAATTTATTGAGAATCCAGCAAGTGTCAATTAACATATCGTTTTGTTTTCACAGTATATCCATTCAGCAGGCATAATTCACAGGGTAAGTGAAAACAGAATTAAAAATATTTGTTTTTTTTATTCGTATTCTGTAGATGATGTTTGTGCGCTTGTATGTCCATAGATATAGTTCTCACACCATTCTTGACTTGATTAGTTTTGGCTGGATGTTTTTTAATTGATATGGTCCCCACATTGGGGGTTTCAGAACAGCCAATGACTAAACTGGAACTGGTTGAAAATTGGGTTTTAGACAAAACAAAAATTTGCATGAAAAGTGTGTTTTCCTCAGAAAATTAATTGGAAAACAGCACATAAAAACTGAAAAATTTTCAGCCATAATGCAAAAAGTCAGAAATTGCCACTGAATATTTTGACAAGAATATTTTTCATCAAAATTTTGTGCACTGAAATAAAACTGGCCTTTCTGATTCCTTTTGAAAATCCCACCAAAGCTCTCACAAAATCAGTGTGAGAATTTTGAAATGACAACATTTTGGGTTGCCTGCCCTTGTACTTGCAAACTTCACCATTCCTCCACAAAGACTTGGCTGTCCTATCTTAACCAAGAGAAGAAATCAGTCCTTTGTAGTAAAATACCAGGTGCATCATAAAAAATTTACTTCGCCCATGTGGCTTCAATTTGACTGCTGGAAATTATATCAGTCATCACAAACCCAACATGATGTAACACTTCAGTAAGTGTGAATGTTAGCTCCCAAAGCTGTTGTAGTCATAGTCTAAGCTTGACAGACACTCAGCTTTCTCTAAGTTTCCCCCGCTGACTGATCATCTTTCAATTCCATTGTAGAGCCTCTGCAACTCGAAGTCTCCCTTCCCTCACTCCAAGGCCCCTATGATGTTAACAGTCCACATCCCCTGCTTTTTTTATTTTTTTTCCATCCATTCTTGGGATGGACAATTGGAAAGTTGTGCAGAAATTTTCTACAAGGATCTTGTTTTATGGTGTAGTTGACATAAATCTGCAAGAGTTGTGGGGATATTCTGCTCAGATTTTCTCCCTAAATCTGGAATCTCTACAGATCATTAATCTTGTATAATAAAATTTAAGGGTCTGAGTTTTTCAAACTTGCAGCAGTTAAATGGAGAAGGATATTGCGGCGATCAAGACCTGACTCTTTATTGTTGGCATTTTTTTAATGTAACAAGTAACAGCCTCCATTCAAGTGAGTCAAATTAGCAGGAAATCCCTTTTTATCCAAACTTTGCCTAAGACAGGAGAGCATGTTCTGGCTAAAGAAGGTGTGATCATAAAATCTTGTTTATCTCTTTTAATACTCAAGAGCATCCCAGGTGGATAAACAATCTGCTTAGGTGCATACTGATGTGTATATTAACAATTTGCTTATGTGTTATAGCTCTTCCCTCACCCTCGGTCTACCTTGTCTATTTAGATTGTAATTTCTTCAGAGCAGGGACCGTCTACTCTTCTCTGGTTGTACAGTACCTAGCACAATGGGGCTCCGTTCTTGGTTGGCCCTTGGGCACTGCTGCAATAAACACAATTAATACTAATGGACCTTTCATTGAAGATTTCTTCCAAGAACACATATGTGGCTTAACAGCCATGAAGGAAAGCTATTTAATTTCAGTTGAGTTTATGTAAGTCCCAGGATATAACTTCAAAAGGTTGGGGCCAGAGTTGGGAATTTGCATTCATCTCCTCACAGGTATTTTCTAGGAAACCCACATACCTTTGTTTGTCCCAAAAGTTCTTTCTTGTCTGGCACATTGTTTAAAATAGTACTTTTGAAGCTCATAACATTCAATAAGGTTTTTCAAGGCTATTGCAAGAAATTGCCCTATCTTTCACAATTTCCTTCACATAACACAAGTATTTTTATTTAAAAAGTGTATTTTTCTGTTTGTTGTAAAAGTCCATCTCAAACTTGATATATTTACAGGATCTAAAGCCTGGAAATTTAGCAGTAAATGAAGATTGTGAATTGAAGGTAGGAAACACTTCCTGAAATATGCAGTTGAATTTGTTACGAACACACTGCATAGGAGAACATGGGTGAAACCAAGTCAATGACAGAACTCCTGTTGACTTCAGTTGGGCTAGGATTTTACCCTATGACTTTTGAAGAGTCATGGAGATATGGGAATTACCAGGAAATTGAGGTGAGGGAGGACCAAATGTGGTCCCAGGACGTTAGCAGGAGGAAGAACCAAATGGAAATTGTATTATTTGGGGGGGGGGGGGGAACCTGAACATCAAAAGCCTAATCATCTCATTGGGTGTATCTACACAACTCTGAGTGATTGCAAGCAGCTGATTGGATGATTGACCTCCGAGAGGATTATGGAACCAAGCAAGTAGCACTATTTCTAGAGGAAAAACTTTGCCAAATACCCTCAATTGCTGCTTTTTAAACAAAATAGAATTCAGTGGATGTTATCTATATGGATTTTCGTGAATCATTTAATAGTGTCATATGAAATCCTGCTTTTTAAATTACATCACATTAGCTTGAATACGAGCAATGTCAGGTGGTTTTAAATTGGCTGAAGGATTGTTTTAAAAAAAAATTCATGACAAAATAGCAAAGTATCAAATTAGGGATCAATATTAGGTGCAGTCTTATTTAAATCTTCCTTCAAGAAGCTTCAGACCATAAGGAAATTCAACTATGATACTAAGTATTGGTAATGAGTTCACATAACAGTTGGATGTGCAGAGGATAACTGTTAGATGAGCAAGCCTATGGCATGGGTTATAATAATGACAGCACAACCACAAGTTATTGCTGAGATCAACACTGCCAGGAATTCCCTACAGGGTTGGAGGAGGTGGTGGCAAATATTACTGTAAAAATTGAAATTGGCTGCTTTGGAGTGGGTATAAAAAGAAGGCTGTTTATACATAGGCCTGTGGTTTTGCAGAGTGGATTGCTGTAAGTGTGTATGTTCCCTCATAATTGTATAAACTATAATAATCAGTGTAGGTATGTATGCAGTGTTGTTGTAGCCATATTAGACAAGGTGAGTGTGGTAATATCTTTTATTGGACCAACTTCTGTTGGTGAGAAAGACAAACTTTTTGAGCTTACAAAGAGCTCTACTTCAGGTCTAGGTATGTGTAATACATAAACTGTGATGAATATCTACTTATTTTGTCATGTAGTCACTCAGCTAAGAAACTGACTTTTTCCAAAAGAGTTAATGTCCGTGTTGCCAAAAGGCAGCTAGTGTGTAAGGGCATTGCTGTGATACCCTTTCTCATGTCGAATACCATTTTACACCACCTAGTCCCATCCACTTCAGTGGGAGTATTTGTGCAGTAAAGTGCTACTCAACATGAGCGAGGATATCAGAATCTGGACCTAAATTCACACATCAGAAATGGGGCTCTTGTTTCTTTTAAAAAGACACTGAAACTAGGAAAGCCAGTGATAATGTTAAGTGCATACTGTAAAGTTTCCTAACAGCAGTACTGGTTCTAGTTGGTTTCCAGAATAGCTTGTGTCCTTTAATTGGACAGTTGGTAATTTTTTTGTTAATTAGGGGCAGGTATTTAAGATCTTTTAAGCATAGGTGACGACTCTGTGGGTGCTCCAGGGCTGGAGCTCCCACAGGAAAAAAATAGTGGGTGCTCAGCACTCACCAGTGGCCCCACTGATCAGCTCCTTCCCCTCCCCCCCCCCCCCCAGTCCCGCCCGCCCGCCGGCCCTCCCAATCAGCTCCTCCCCCTCCCTCCCAGCACCTCCTACCCACCGCAGATCAGCTGTTCAGCGGCATGCAGGAGGTGCTGGGGGGGGAGGGAAGGAGTGAGGGCAGGGCATGCTCAGGGGAGGGGGTGCAAGGGGGCAGAAAGATAAGGGCAGGGGTGGAGTGGGGGCAAGAAGGGGCAGGGATCGGGCCTGGGGGAAGGGGTGGAGTGGGGTAGGGGCTGGGGCAGAGCGGAGTCAGGCACCCCCAGGGAAATTAGGAAGTCAGCGCTTTGCTTCTAAGACATTTTTACATGGAAAGAGGAATGAGCTGTTTCTTCTGTTCAGTTATCCCTGCATATGAGTCTGCCCTAAGCAGATTCCTGTTGAACTGTTGTGCAAGCAGGCGTTGCCATCTGCAAGCTTCGCTCTAGATCATTAAGCTGAAATACTGAATCTGATTTTATCACTCTGCTTCTTCTCTGTCTTGGGAATCTTCCAATCCATTAGTGTGTTAGAGCATAATATTTATTCTCCAGAAATAATTATGCAAAATAGCCCAGACCCCACAAAATCTATTTGTTTAATTGTAGTGAAGAGTTTGTTATAAAAAAGCAAATAAGAAAACTTTATGAAATGTGATTTATACATGTCTCCGTCAGCTTATTACAAGACTTCTGGTTATATCCCTTATATGAGGTCAGTAGATTCAGACTGCTCCCAGCGGCCACTTCACCTGGAATGGTCCTTTAGAATATGTGCTAACTATTTATGCTAAACTATCTGTTTTTATTTAGTATTTCGCTGTGACACTCTTAGTACCTTTCCCAGACCTAAAGAAGAGCTCTGTATAGCTCAAAAGCTTGTCTCTCTCACCAATGGAAGTTGGTCAAATAAAAGATATTACCTCACCTACCTTGTCTTTCTAATGAATTAAAAGGTATTCTCTCCCCAAGATTTCGAAAGTCTTATTTATTTTGTGGAACTTGTTTCTATGTGAGCTATCTTACTGGAAGGATTGCCAAAGTTACAAACATCACCCTCATAAAAGGCTAGTAAGTAATTCAACAATTAAACTCAAAAACTGTGCACAGTCAATCATTCAAAAATCAGGAAATACAAAAGCAGTATTGTCAACACCAAGCATTCAAAAATCATAAGTCAGGCTTCAAAAAATTATGAAATTGGATTTAAATAATGAAAAATTTAAACAATAATAAATTTGGGGTTTGGGAGTTTTTGTTTGTTTGTTTTTCTCTCTCTCTCTGTCTCTCGGTTTTTGAGCCTTTTGGTTACACGTGGGACATGTGGTCCATCTTTTCTCCCTGTCCTTCTTAAAAAAAAAAAAACAAAGTTAAAATTCTCCCCTAGTTGCCTGACTCCAGGACTGGGACTTTAAGAAAAACATCCAGCAGCACAAGATTCATGATAAAATTGGAAGAGTTGGCACACTGAAAAGTGAAGTTTTAGTGCACAACTTTAATGCTCTGTACCTGCACCGAGGCACTGTAATTAGAGTTGGTTGGGGATCTGTCGACAAAACATTTTTGTTGGAAAATGCTGATTCAGCAAAATCAAAACTTTTTCATGTGAAAGGGTCAAAACTTGTATCGAGCAGGTTTTTTAGGTCCAGGACAGAATTTCTGCTCAAAGAGAGAGAGAGAGAGAGAGACCCATCCTAAAATAGCAAATGCCTAGTGGTTAGGGCAAAGAAACTGTAGGAGAGATTTAGAGCAGGAACTTTTGAACTTAGGGTCTCCCACATGCCAGGTGAATGCCCTAACCACAGGGACACTGGCTATTCATGGGTCGGTGGGTGTCATTTTGTTACAAAACAAAAAATTCAAAAGGTCTCGGTTTTCTCCCAATGTGAAATGGAAAAGATTTTGAAATACTGAAAATGTGTGCAGGATAGGAAAACAATTTCCTGCCCAGCTCTCAGTATAATATAGACTCCCTCCAATTCTCTGGAGCCTTAACCTGGTGGATCCAGCCACTTACAGATTCCCCTTGTTAAAGGGATTCTATGACCTTAGATACACGAGTATTAAGATAAATTAAGATCTCATAAAGACAATTCCTGACTTTCAGGTACTTAACTTTGCAAACTCTAATGTTGCAGTAATTTCTAAAGTTTATTTTATTAAAATGGGAAAAGAAATATGCAAGGCTGGTAATTAACAGGCATCAGTTGTGAAAAGACACCTGGTACCTGTAAACAGCAGGGAGCAATCTATAAAAGGTAGACTAGTCTGTGTAAGAAATGCAGGAGAAGGACCTGATTCTCGTCTCATTTATACCAGTGTAACTCCATTGACTTCAGTGCAGTTATAATTCCTCTGTCCAGAATTGGGGAAACGTGGTTCCAATCAGGCTGTAATCTCATCACTACAATACCTGCAGCTTGAAAAACTTAACAACCTCTGCCACCTTCCCTGGGAGTGAAACATTTAGCAGAGCTTGCAAGGTGCACAAGTTCACTGTTCACTAACATACAGAACTAATGAACTCCACTGCTTTTATGAGCACAGTTTGAAAGCCTCTTTCTCCACAGCTAATGGGCCTATGGAGTATAGCTGTTCTCTTAACTGTGCACCACATCCATCTTTAAATCCACAGCTAAGAGCTTAGCATAACTTTCTAAAGCACGTGCTCGGTCATGCATTTTCAAAGTCATCAAACTAATTTTTTCCCCCCCTATGCTTTTAACAAAATGCATACTGGACATTAAGGCCTGTTTCTAGGCTATCTTTGAAGTGTCAAAGTTCAGTTGTGTTTTGTTATTAAGGTGGGAAGCTGGAGTTTTATTTCTTTCTTTCTTTATTTATGTGTTTATTTTTGCAGTGGGGAGAAATGTGTTTTCCACCATCCTATTCTTAACTTTAAAGTGGCTATAGCGATTTTGCCTAAACATGTTCAAAAAATCACTTTCCAGCATGGTAAATTCCAGCCCAAAAGGTTAAATGTTTAGGTCAAGAATGTATGAAAACAGTGGCTTGATATGGAAATTGTAGTGCAACCTTAACTGTGATAATCTTAACCATAATAATTAGAAATCTGTTCATAAGAATGAATAAACATTTACTCTGTACAAAACAAAATGAAAATCCTAAAATGGCTGCATGACTACAGCTGGGCAAATAATGGATTTTTTTGTTTGCTGACAATTCCAAAACATTTTTTTTAATTCCATTTTGGGTTGAACCAAAACCAATTTTTTAACGTTTTCAGTGAATTGAAAAGTAGGAGGGGGATATTTCAGGTTAAGCAAAATGTTTTTGGGTTTTTTTAGATTTTGACAATTTTAATTTTTTTTAAATGTTTTAATAAAATTAACAAAAATTCTGAAACAAAAGGTTATTTCAAAGTGAAAAATTGAAACATTCCACTTAAAAATGTCAAAACAAAATGTTGGGGTTTTGGGCGGGGGGGGGGGGGGGGGTTTAAGTTTTTTTTTTTTAACAGAACATTTTGGAAAAAAAGAAAAAAAAAAAAAAAAAAAAAGTGTGTAATATTTCTGTGTTGCTGTATCTGCATTTTTTGCCCACCCCTCAAAAAAAAGATGTGAAACATTTTGCCCAACCCTATGCATAACATATGTACTAACTATTTTTGTAATTCTTAGCTACCTTTACTAAATAAATACACCACGATTTGCAATATATTGCAACTGTTTCTAGCGCTCAATGAAACCACAGATCTTAGTCTGGCAAATCAAAAAACCTGTATAAGTAATAATAAATGTTATGTAAATGATGCAGACCATAGAAAAGCATCGAAGTGTTGCATTTCTTTTCTTTGGTGTCTTGTGAAGACCTAGTGGAGAACACTGTATAGGATGTCTGGATGCTTCATTTAAAAGTATATCTTGCTATCCTGTTTATGAAGATATTTATTTGCCTTGTGTCCAGTATTTAAATGAGAAAGTTTATGGGTTATGTAGTACAAAATAGGGATTAAGTGCCATTGAACAAAGTGGAAATTATTGGTAAACATAGCAGATCTCTCTTTCTACTTTGCATCCCATTTCTGTTTTAAATGCAGTTGACACCTCAGCTGATATGAAATATGGAAATTATGTTAAAGTGATGCAGTGAGAATAAAGCCATAATATTTACATTTTACATCCTGCATCCACAAATAACAGCCTAATATAACTTTCCTTTTTCATTAGTGCCAGGAGAGTGATGATACTATTTTATTGAATAGTGAAGTATTTAAAATGGTTGAATTATAGTCAGCATGTTACAAATACCGGGTCCTTTTGCAGCGTCAATGAGTGTTTGTACTATAAATCTCTGTCCATAAGGTATCCATGCAGTCTGGTAAGCATGGAAATTTTAGCAGTTATTTCATTAGTAGATCTACATATTCAAGCATGTATTATGTTTTTTAAATCTTCCCTGCCATAGATGGTCCATTCAGTTCTATTTTTCAACACGCCAGTGGATGGGTACATTTTTGCCATAAATCTGTTAATTCACCTCATCCAAGAGGCTCACTTTTCTGGTTAGTAATTTCTCATTGCTGACTATGAGCCTGTTCACTGTTAGCCTCCTGCTTTAGCTGGTCTCTGCTGCTAGTCCTCTGATTTGGACCATTTTGTAGAAGTTGATCCAGGCTTGTACTTGTATTTTCAAGTGGTTGCCACCGGAAATGGCTAGCTGTATAGATAAATATCCAAGGGACTGCAATAATAGTTTAATGAATAAGTAAGTTTAATCATATATAACTTTATAATTCTGAATGTATCACCTGTGGGCCTTGAACTCCTTAAAAGGCCCTTCAGAAGAGGAAGAGGGAGGAAGGTTGGTTAAAGCAGTAGCCTGAGACTCGGGAGACTTAGGTTCAATTCCCTGCCCTATGACCTTGGACAGGTCTCTTTCTGCCTCTGTTCCCCATCTGTAGAATGGAGATACTAATACTTCCCTACCTCAGAGAGGTGCTATTAGAATGAATACATTAAAGATTGTGCGGCACTCAGCTGCAACAAGAATGGGGGCCATATAAAGTACCTAAGGTGGATAGCTTCATTATAACCCTGGAAAGGTTTGATGGCGATTCCTTGGACAGGGAGTTTTATTAGTAGAATGAAATATTTGACCAATATTTTAATAACATTAATTAAAGAATTTACTGTTTCCTTCAGTATAGTTACAAAGCTCAGCAGCTCCATTTTTGTTAAAGTATCCTAAATGGGAGAGAAGCATTCTGAAACGTAACTTGTATGCTATTTCTGTCCAAATTTTACATTGCAGCAAGAAAACATCTATGTGAAATGTTCACTTTTTCTATTGTCTCCAGTTGGAATGTCTCTGCATTCATTTTGTTCTTCCAATATAGATTCTGGATTTTGGGCTGGCAAGGCATACGGACAGTGAAATGACAGGCTACGTGGTTACTCGATGGTACAGAGCCCCGGAGGTCATACTTAATTGGATGCATTATACTCAAACAGGTAATGTGTATGTGTGGGTGCTAAGATCAACATCCTCGCTCTGAATAGTCTTAGCAGCTCCCACGTATGCATTGAATAAAGTAATATATAACCATATCTTTGTTCCTCAGAGAGAAATGAAAAATGGTGGTGAGAATATGCGAAGATGAGGGGAGTCGATTAATTGCAGTTAACTCACACATTAACTCAAAAAGGAATCGTGATTAAAAAAATTAATTGTGAATACCAATTGAAATTTATTAAATATTATTAAATGTTTTGGATGTTTTTCTATGTTTTCAAATATATTGATTTCTAGTACAACACAGAATACAAAGTGTATAGTGCTCACTTTATATTATTTTGATTACGAATATTTGCACTGTAAAAATGATAAAAGAAATTGTATTTTTCAATTTACCTCATACAAGTACTGTAGTGCAATCTCTTTATCATGAAAGTGCAACTTACAAATGTAGGGTTTTTTTGTTACATAACTGCACTCAAAAACAAAACCATGTAAAACTTTAGAACCTACAAGTCCACACTCAGTCCTACTTCCTGTTCAGCCAATTGCGAAGAGAAACAAGTTTGTTTACATTTACGGGAGATAATGCTGCCCACTTCTTAATTACAATGTCACCTGAAAGTGAGAACAGGCATTCGCATGACACTGTTGTAGCTGGCGTCACAAGATATTTATGTGCCATATGTGCTAAAGATTCATATGCCTCTTCATGCTTTGGCCATCATTCCAGAGGACATGCTTCCATGCTGATGACGCTTGTTCAAAAAATAATGCATTAATTAAATTTGTGACTGAATTCCTTGAAGGAGAATTGTATGTCTCCTGCTCTGCATTCTGCTATATATTTCATGTTATAGCAGTCTCGGATGATGACCCAGTACATGTTGTTAGTTTTAAGAACGCTTTCACTGCAAATTTGTCAAAATGTAAACAAGATACCAATGTGAAATTTCTAAAGATAGCTACAGCTCTCAACCCAAGATTTAAGAATCTGAAGTGCCTTCCAAAATCTGCAAGGGGCTAAGTGTGGAGCATGCTTTCAGAAGTCTTAAAAGAGCAACATTCTGATACGGAAACTACAGCACCGAAACCACCAAAAAAGAAAATCAACCTTCTGCTGGTGGCATCTGACTCAGAGGATGAAAATGAATATGTGTCGCTCTGTACTGCTTTGGCTCGTTATCGAGCAGAACCAGTCATTAGCATGGACGTATGTCCTATGGAATGGTGGTTGAAGCATCAAGGCGCACATGAATCTTTAGCGCATCTGGCATGTAAATATCTTGTGACACTGGCTACAACAGTACCATGCAAATGTCTGTTCTCACTTTCAGGTGACATTGTAAAGAAGAAGCAGGCAGCATTATCTTCTGCAAATGTAAACAAACTTGTTTGTCTGAGTGATTGGCTGAACAAGAAGTAGGACTGATTGGACTTGTAGGCTCTAAAGTTTTAAATTGTTTTATTTTTGAATGCAGGGGTTTTTGTACATCATTCTACATTTGTAAGTTCAACTTTCATGATAAAAAGATTGCACTACAGTACTTGTATTAGGTGAATTGAAAAATACTCTTTCTTTTGTTTTTTACAGTGTAAATATTTGTAATAAAAAATAAATATAAAGTGAGCACTGTACACTTTGTATTCTGTGTAATTGAAATCAATATATTTGAAAATGTAGAAAACATCCAAAAATATTTAAATAAATTGTATTCTATTATTGTTTAATAGCGTGATTAATCACGATTAATTTTTTTTAATCGCTTGACAACCCTAGTGAAAATGTAAAACTGTAATTAAGAGCAAGTTCCCTGCAGTTAAAAAATTTGGGTAATCCTTTGTTGTCAATTTTCAGAAATTAAACTCCAGTGTAGACAGAGAAAAAGGCAATCTGGGTTTGGACATAGGTGGTAGCGAGCTCTACCCTTGCTACATGCTGTAATCCTTCTGCAGGATGTTGCAGATTGTACCCTAACTCCAACTGGAAGGGCAAACCATTCAGCAAAGAGGGGGTACTAAAGAAGCATGAAGGTAGCTGTAGTCCCTTCTTAAATGACTGGAAGAATTACTTCCTGTATGCATCAGCTTGATATTGAGGAGCTGCCCTCTCCCTGTGTCCTGGTCATGAACACCAGTTACCTTATTGCAACTTGCTTTTGGTAGACATTTATTTTCATATAAAGGATCAACTATATTAATACGCTTCTTTAAAAAAGTATAACTGAAACTGTATTTTAACCATACATTTGTGAGGGGATTTAAAAATATAATTCGGCAATTTAATGTTACTGATTTTTTTTTTTTTTATAATTTCAGTTGACATCTGGTCAGTGGGCTGTATTATGGCAGAAATGATAACAGGGAGGCCACTGTTCAAAGGAAATGATCGTATCCTTTCATGATGAATTCCTGGCAGAAAGATATGAAAAGTGTGTCGGTATTTGTGTGTCACAATAAGTTGGTTTCATAATGGATATAGATTTAAAACAATGGTCAATTAATTCCCCCCCCCCCACCTGCTTTTAAATCTTGGGTAAATTACTGGATGTTTGTGCCTTAGTTTACCCATCTGTAAATTAGGACTAATATTACTGAACTACTTCACTACAGAGATATGAGCATTGAATGTTACAAAGCACTCTCAGATTCTCAGGTGGAAGGTTCTATGCAAAATCTTCAATAACAGGCACCCCGGTTCAGGAGTGTACACACACAAACCTGGTGTTGTGTGAACACCCAACCTTACGGGTACATACAGAGCCCAGTTTACATATGTGCCTCGGGTTCGGGGCACACACTTCTCAAGATTTTATCCAGAATTGTTAGGATCTGGTTAGGAAGGTTCTCCATATTTAAAAGAGTTGTATCATTCATTGCTGAGAACTTAAAACTTAAATCAACTTAAAAAACATTAAAAATCCCACTTCAGTATAGACATTTTTGACCTACTATTGTTACAAGTAACTCTTAAAATTAATATGAGAGGGCTTGTGTATAACCAGTTTCACTCTTTCCCTTGGATATGTATTCATTAAGGCCCGGGTTCTGCCAGCAGATACTATACATGCTTAAAGTTAAGCATAAGATTTTGGGGCTTTAGTATGTTTCTATTTTGCTTGTTTGTCTTATTCTCCCCTTATTATGTGAGAAAAACACTTCAAAAGAGAAGAATGGAGATTGCAAAACCACAAAGATGAGATGAGGGGACTAGGGAAGCTGCAGTACCTGAAACTATTTTTAACACATTTTTTTAAATTAATTAGATTCAAGTATGTGTCCCTTGTTAACAACAAAATACAAAAATATCTTTTCCTGCTGGCCTAAGGGCAGCAGTTAACTAACCAGTATTATTACTGGAGCTGTGCTGGCCTTGAGGATACTTATGTAACGTTTATGCATACACAAGGAAACAAGTGAGTCACAATTTCAAGCTGCACCAGAAATTCAGGAGTGGGAAAACCAGTATTTTAATAATCTTAGGAGATGAATATTGCAGAAGGTATTGGGTGAAGTTCTACAGCCTATGTTATTCAGGAAGTCAGACTAGTTAATCATAATGGTCCCTTCTGACCTTAAAATCTGTGAACCTATGTTAGCTGTTGCAAGGAGAACACAATCTCATTCCAGTCCTTTTCAGGTAAGCAAAGCAAGAAATATAATTTTTAGTTCTTTTGTTTTAGTTCCATAAATAAATTCTGTTGCAAATTTGATATCAAATAATTTTTTTAACATCATTTGTAAAAGCTTTTCAGTTTTCATCCATCATCTCCCTCTGACTCTACAGGCATTTGAATGTGTGATCTTCATGTATTTGGAGCTCTGCAAGATCAATAGGCAAAGAGGTGCAACGCCAGACAAGAGCTGCTTTCTATGGCATCAGCCCCTGGAAACCTGCTGGAATCCCTGGAAAAGATAATGCTGGTGCTGAGTAAGCTATACTTCCTTAGGAGACATAAGGTCAGGGACTATCCTTATCCCACCCAGGTTGTCTCAGGAAATCTCAGGGTTTGGAATGGAGCAAGGAGGGAAAATGACTTTTAAAAAGCTACAATAACATTTCATGGAATATTTGTCAAAATTTCAAATTTTCAAAAAATTTCAACCAACTGTAGTCAGGAAGCTATCTATGATGATAATCAGCTGGTCACCTCAGTTTCGAGGATGATGTCAACAATCATAGTTTGTACTAATGGGTCTTCATGTGACTCCATAGACCAATTCAGGAAGAACAACATTTACCACACCGGCCACAGAACCATTTTCCTAATTGTGTTGATTGAGCTGCACATTGTTTCTGTGTCTGGCACTGTGCTTCCAGCTGCTCCCATGATTCTTCTCAAAGTCGTGGCCACCCGCCCTTATGATGTGGCACCGTGCAATATGATCAATCGCCAGTTGCTCAAAGGATGAGCAAGAAATGTTCATTTTGCACAGTTTTTGTTTCATCTGCCCTCCATGCTTACAATTGCTGAAGCTTAATTCAGAATATAAGATTTGTTTTGATAGACGGGTCTCAGGCATTTGAATTACATGGCCAGCCTATCTCAGTTGGGTGTGGATCACATGAGCCTTGATGCCAACCGAACCAGCTTTCACCAGGACTTCCATGTTGGAAACTCAGGCCTGCCATATCATGTGCAGCAATCATCACAGGTGTTACAAATGGAAAATGTCAAGCTTTTCAATGTGTCGTCAATAACAGGTCCATGTTTCGCACCCATAGAGCAATGTCATGAGGACAACAGCATTATAGACTTCGATTTTTGTCTGTAGACAGATTCTATGTTGCTTTCAAATTTAGTGATAGAGGTGATCATATGTAGTGCTGGCTTTCTTAATTCGCACATCCACTTCATGGTTGACTATAGCTTCGTTGTTCAATATGCTGCCAAGATACGTAAACTGTTTGACAGCTTGCAGCATAAAACTTTCCAACCTTATTGATGGGTCTTGGTAAAGTTGTTGAGGAGCTGGCTAGTATATAATCTTGGTTTTCGTTCAGCTGATGGTGAGGCCAAAGTTACAAGCTGTCGCAACAAAGCAGTTTGTAAGATGTATAAAGATTGGTGCTGTTTGTGACATTTTTCCTGTAATAGTCACATGATGAAGATCATGTCAGCAGTGCTCCACTGAGCACGAAAGCTGCGCTCTGACTCAGCTAGCATGTTGTCGATGATTTGGGTCAGGAGTGGTTCAAGAGGATCCATGCAAGAATCTTGCTGGCCACAGAGAGCAAAGAGATACCTCAGTAGTTACCACAGTCGGTGTTTGAGCCTTTACACTTATAAATAGTGACAAGGTTGGCATCTTTCAGTTGTTGTGGTGTAATTTCTTGAAGCCAGACATGTAAGAAAAATTCGAAGAGCTTGTCAATGAGAAGATTTCCTCTGTGTTTGAAAACCTCAGCTGGAATTACACTGGGGCCAGGGAATTTATTATTTTCATTACTTGAACAGCCTTCAACACCTTGGCTCATGTGAGTGGATCGGCAAGTGCAGTAGATGTGGGGCGTTTCTAGACATTATTTAGTGCAGGGGTCTCAAACACGCGGCGCGGAGCTCTTCCCTGCGGCCTGGGGAGCTCCCCACGTGCGGCCCCCCCCCGCCCGGGGCACCCGCCCCCCCCCCCCCCCCCCCCCCCACCGGAGTTAGGATGACCAGCCGGCAAATATGAAAAATCGGGACAGTGGTGGGGGTAATAGGAGCCTATATAAGAAAAAAAAACCAAAATCGGGACTGTCCTTATAAAATCGGGACATCTGGTCACCCTACCCGGAGTGTCTCCCGGCACCCACTTGCTGCCTCCTCACTGCCCCGGAGCCTGGAGCCTGCAGCACAGGGTGACTCAGGAACCTGCAGCACACGTTGAATCCGCTCCGCGCTGCCGGCTTCCAGCAGGTCCTAGTGTCCCTCTTCACTAGGGCCAGGGCAGGCTGCCCTTCCCCTGCCCTTCTGCCCTAGTCCTGAGCTTCTCTCTTCAGTGAGGTGCTGCCACCCTGGAGTTGCTCTAGGTAAGCGGCGCCAGGCCGGAGCCCACACCCCGCACCCCAACCCCCTGTCCGGAGCCCCCTGCCACATCCCACACCCTCCCGCACCCCAACTCCCTGTCCTGAGCCCCCTGCCGCACCCTGCACCCCTCCTGCACCCCACATCCCAATTCCCTGCCCTGAGCCCCCTGCTGCACACCTCCTGCACCTCAACTCCCTGCCCTGAGCCCCCATCACACCCCGCATCCCTCCTGCACCCTAACCCCATCTGGAGCCCCTGCCACATCCCACACCCTCACACACCCCAACTCCCTGCTGCACCCCTCACCCCTCCTGCACCCCACACCCCAATTCCCTGCCCTGAGCCCCCCGCTGTACCCTACACACCTCCTGCACCTCAACGCCCTGCCCTGAGCCCCCATCACACCCCACACCCCTCCTGCACCGCCTGGGGACAGAGAGGGGGCAGAGTTGGGGTGAGGACTTCGGGGAAGGGGTTGGAATGGGGGCAGGGAAGAGGTGGGGCAGGGGCAGGGCCTCATGGAAGGGGTGGAGTGGGGGCGGGGCCAGGGGCAGCAAGGGGTGGGTGTCAGTGATGCGGCCCTCGGGCCAATGCACTAGTCCTCATGCGGCCCTCGTGGTCATTTGAGTTTGAGACCCCTGATTTAGTGACTCATCAGAAACAGTAGATTGTCAAGTAAGTAGTTCACTAAAATGTTCATGCCACCATTGGTGGATGGCAGTGCGATCTCTGATGAAAGATTCACCATCAGCACTTGGTAGTGGTGTCAAGACAGATCGGATAGGCTATACACAGCTTTGACTGCCTCATAGAAACCTTTGGAGTCATGTTTATCAGCAAGGGTGTGTGATTCCTCGGCTTTATGGTCAAACCACATATTTTGCACGTGGCAGAGTTTGGATTGGAGCGTACTGCAGGCTGCCCTATGTCTGGCCTATTTCAACCCATAGAGTGCGTCAGCTAAGAGCACAGCATGACATCAAGGAGATTCAATATTTTATGACCATTTTCTTCAAACCAGTCTGCATGATGGCATTTCGTAGGTCCAACACAATTCACGACCGTGTTATCGATCGTGTCACGCAAGGATACCCATTCGGCAGTTACGTCATCACTGATCATTGGAAGAGTTTCTAAAAGAGTAGTTAGCTGTGTTGAAAATGGTTTGGCAATTGACAGATCATTCAGTCAAGCAGTATTTATAAGCTTGACTGATGGTTTTTTACACATTTTTGGCCAAATAGTGAGGGAAAGCTTTGATGGAACAAGATAGTGGTCAGTACAACAATTAGCTCCATGTAATACCCAAGTTATGCGCACATCTTGTAGGTCCCATTGTCGGACCAACATCTAGTCAATCAAATGCCAATGACTTGCGCAAAGGTGCATCCAGATTGTTATATATTTGTTGGGGACTCAGAAGATAGTGTTTTCAATATTTCGATGGTGCACAGCATCTGTCCTTAGCAGAAGTAGGCCATTGCTGTTCATCTTGTTGATGCCATGTTTGCCAAGTACACCATGCCACATAGAGTCGTCAAGGCCAATACAAGCATTAAAATTGCCTAAAACAAGCAACTTTTCTTCACAGGGAGCCAATCGGATCAGGTAATTTAGTTCAAAATAAAATTCCTCCTTCAGAATTAGTCATTGTTGGTGCATAAGCAGTAATCAGTGAAGCATAACATCTGCCTCTTTGGGCAGTCGAAGCTTCATCAATCTATCATTTATGCCAGTGGGTATGCTCTCCAAACGAGAGACAAGATTATTTCTGATTGCAAAGCTTATTCCTGCATTGTATGGCTTGTTTTGTGGGCATCCCTTCCAGAAGAAAGTATACCCAGCACTCTCCTCAATCAACTGACCCTCATCAGCAAGTAGCATCTTGCTCAGTGCTGCAGTGTCAATACTTATCTTCTAGGCTGTTGAGCAACCAGAGCAGTCTGCCTGACAGGATGATCAGTTTGGTTTGGACAGTCAAGGAGTGTACGGACATTCCATGTCACAACATTGAGACAAAAAGGAACTTTTCAAGGCGTATTTGAATTTCGACCACATGATGGGCCACCCTCCAGCCGTGGTAAGCTGGTCAGGGCTGATCAAGATGAGCAATTATTAGGGCACCTTTTTGAGCCCCCTCCTTGTATTGAAGTTGGCTGTGCTGTCCCTGAATAGAGGAGACAAGTCGATCAAGATGCTGCTGGACTACAGTATCACCTCAGGTCAATGCAGAGTGACCAAAGTCTTGACCTGCCTGCGTTCAGATTCATGACTATGAGTCCCAGCAATGTCCATCACCTGTCACTTTCCCCATTCTCCCATAATCGCAGGACTTGTTAGACTGTTGAAGGATGCATGAGAATTTGTTTAAAGTGAACGAGTAGTTGCGCACCAACTTGCACACACTTTTAGTCAACAAGACCATTTCCAGTGGCAAGACAACTGAAGAACTTGCTGGCTGCAGGTTTATTTTTGGAGTATATGTCTTCTGGAAGTCCAACCTCTCCTCCCCATGGCATGGTGGGATGGTGGAAACAGGAAAAGTAGGGGATTGCCCTGTAGGACAAAATATGGTGGTGAGCTTTGCTTTCCAGGCCGCTATGGTAGCCATGAAGGCCTACAGGGTTTTACTCCAAAACACCCTGGCTAACGGGGGTAAACCCTAGCTCCAATCACATGATCCATTGCAAACTTCACAAGTATAAACTACCCAAGGGGAAGGACATTATCTGGCCCATAAAGTTGGAATATACTTGACTTTAGGTGTTTCAGTGTCCTCAACTTTTGCAAAAGAAACACAGAACCTTGAGCTGCACAAATGTAAAGTTTCTCATTTCACCTTTATGTTGTGTGTTCCGCTTTGATCTCCATTGGCAAGGAAATTGCATAATTTTTGTAGGGCTTTTAATTTTGTCACTGTACAAAGACTTGATTCCTGACATCTGGTATTCAGATCTGGACCAGCTCACAGAAATAATGAAGGTAACAGGCACACCAACTCAAGATTTTGTTCAGAAACTACAGAGTCAAGATGTGAGTATACTGCTTGGTACAGTATTCTGCTAATATTCTGCTTTTTCTAGTTTCAAATGCAAGAAAACTTAATGGAAAGCTGTTCTCTGAATCTCATCATAAAAATATTCAAGAATTTTCTGGAAATCTTATTGATTTGGTTTATTTAGTCAAACACAATTTTCAAATAGTTTTAAATTAAGTACATTGCAATAAGGTAATGGCCTACGTTTTCAAAAGTGTTCATTAATTATGGATACCCAACCTGAGATTCCGGAGCCTGATTTTTTTTTAGAAGTCTTGTGCACCTACAATTTCAGCTGAGGTCAATGAGAGCTGCAGGTGCTCAACATGTATGAAAATTGAGTCCTATCTGAAGGTGGTCACCCAAAACTGAAGTATTAAAAATTAATGGTCACTTGGAAATATGTACGCCTACGTGCTTAAAGTTTCTTACATATGTGGCACATCAACAGCTCTAGTTGAATGGCTACTACTTTTATTGAGAGCACACTGATGATACATACAATGTATTTAGAAGACTGACATTTGTTCTTGTGTTTTTAACATTGCCTTCCCTGGTCCCATGTGCACACTTCTCTAGAGAGTTTAAACCCTGTTAAATGCACATTAACGTTCCTTACAATACCTGTAAATTTTAAATACTCATTGAATACATCTTAAAAAGAAGGACCTACTTTTCTAGAAACTTGTATCAACCCACAGTGGGGAAAAAATAATTATAACTCTGTTGAATGATGCATGTACATTTCCCAAACTAAATACAGTAATATTCAGGCTGTAATAAACAGTACTAAGGATCAACCTTAGGCATTGTTTCTCTCCTTTTTCTTAAAACTTTGCAAACAAGGTGTTCATATGCATAGCATGCTCTCACAAAAATCATGAAAATTCACCTAGCAAGCATATTGCTAAATTTTATCACTTAAAAAGGAAGAACTGTTCTAACCAATGTTCATGTTTCTTTTAAGGCAAAAAATTATATCAAAAGCCTCCCAAAAGTGCAGAAAAAAGACTTTGCAGCCATCTTGAAGTATGCAAATCCTTTGGGTAAGAAAATATGTCTGGATTTCTACCGTTTGTGGTGGTGTGCTACAGCAGGCGCAGCAGCTGCTGCTATAATTAAGGTTGCATTATGGTAATTAAGGTTGGATTCTAACCCCTTGTTTTCCATTGTTCATAATTTTAATCTTAAGGACTGAACTTTTCCAAGACTAGTCCTTGGATAAGCAGGACTTAAAAAGTTAAGCAAAAGTAGTTTATGCTGTTGGCCCTGATCCAGCCAATGCTTAAATGTTTTGCTGGATCAGGGTCTCTGAGTAGCAAGAAATCAAATATAGATAATATAATTTTCCTATTTTAAAAAAATTATTCTTAAAGCCCTATTCTGAATGATTGTACAAGACAAACAGATAGGGGTTGAAAACTAAATTTGTCATGAAAATAGTCCTCAGTGAGAAGTATCTCAGGTTCCAGAGAAAATTGGTTTTGATTTGGTAGTTCTCAAGATAACATACTGAGTAAGCACGGTACATTTTGAATTTTTCAGTAAGCTCACACAGGGCCTGATCCAAATCCCACTGAAATGCATGTAAAGATTACCATGGAGTTCACTGTGGTTGCATAGCTGAGAAAATCGGTGCTATAGATAGACACACATGGCTGTCTGACTGCACTAATGGATTGAAAGTGTACTGAACATGTGGATTGGCTCATAATGAAGTGGTTTTTGTATTGAATATCACAATAATATGACTTGACAGCAGCAAAACACTTTTTGTATCTTTATTTTCTTCTTAAAACAGCATGTCTATGAAATGAAATAACTCATCTTTGTAATCATCTGTAATTCTAAAAAACAACAATGGTACAACAGCTTAAAATCCAAGTTGGATTCAGTGGCAATATTTGAATGTCCTGTTTGGCTTGTGTTGAACAGCTGTAAACCTTTTGGAGAAGATGCTGGTGTTAGATGCAGAGAAGAGAATAACGGCAGTAGAAGCTTTAGCGCATCCTTATTTTGAACCAATTCATGATCCTGAAGAGGAAACCGAGGCAGAGAAATATGATGACACATTTGACAATATGGATTTGCCACTGGATGAGTGGAAGCGTAAGTTCATTATGGTGGGGTTCAAAGGGACTAAGAAGGGCTAGCTGAGAAGTAAAAACACTGTTCTCTCCTTACAAATGACTTTTTTTGGTCTTGGCAGAAAATAGGCACCAATGGGGTCTAGAAACATAAAATGAGTCAGTGCCCCATCTCACCTTGTACCTCCTCCTAAGGTTGCCCCTCTGCTAGTTGCATCTTTCTCCAGGGCACCCCCTCCGCTCCGCCTCCTCCGCTCCTCTCAAACCCCCCATGCTTTATGTTTTCCTCCCTCCCTCCCCTTCCCCATTTCCCACCAAATTTCCTCTTCCTGAGCTCTTTCAATTCACCCTTCTCGGTCCCCCCAAGGTTAGCTAAGGTTCTAACAAGCCTTCCCTGACCCATATGGGAAATGCCTTTAGATGACCAGAGATTTTCTTTACGGTGCAGCTATTTATACTATGAATGGAAATAAAAAATTACTTTTTGGGACAGTCTTGCTTAGCAGTGAGGTTAAGCAAAGCTGGCTGGTAGATCTAGAGTGGCCTCTGATCTTTATGGATCATTCTGGGTTTTTATCAAACATTCTCACTGTCCAGAGGTGTCTTGAAAGCGGAAAATAATTAGATTTATACTGTTTGTAGAACACTATTACAAGGTTTTATTGCTATGTATAGAATAAACTTAAATGATAATTTCCTCTTTTCTGAGGGAAAGAAAGAAGAGTGGGAGTCAGTTATTGAGGATTTGGGTTCACTTTTTGTTCTGGGTTTTCTTTTTTTCATTTCCCTGATTCATACATGACAGGGATGGGAGCAGTGATGATGGATTGTTACAAATCTGCCTTTCCTAAAACAGACCTCAGCAAAGCTATCAACACCCTCCCATCTGCATGTGCCTCCCAAAGGTTGGCAACAAACCACAGTTATTAGCCTGTGCAAGGGAACATAAGACTAGTATTCAGTGTGCTGTTGGCTCCAGTGACTGAGTGTAGGTCATAGTTATTACCTTAGCATAACAAATGTTGAAAATAGAGGGGAAGAGGAAGTAGCAAGTTGTACTTTGATCTCCTGGTTTTCTGCTGAAAGATACCTTGAACTGTACAGAAAGGAGGCATTTCTGAATTCTTACGCTGTGTATTATTGCTTACTGTCAATGGAGCAGGAGAATACTTCTCCTAAACCTAGTGAGCTACAGATTGTGCTTAGGTGTCCCATGAGTGGATACATCTTCATATAAAGCAGGTTATGCGGTTGCATACTTAATGCATTTGAGTGATATGCCTCTATACACAGGAGAGATTGTGCTGATTATTGGTTACTTATATACTTTTAAAAAAAATTTTAACGTGAATATTTTTTTTAATGTTGCTGATTTTTCCACCTACTCTTTCCCCTCTGCTGCTGGGTCTGCTGGCTGTCCTCTTTCTAATCTCCCATTTCTAACTGCTTTGTTTGGTGTCACTCAAATTAAAACCAAATTTCCTAAAATGACCAGGGCTACCCTTTACAATCTACAAAACCTGAGACTGCTGACTTTTAAATAAATATAAATGTTGAGTTAATTTAACTTTCCGTTAAAAAACAAACTAAAAAGGAAGTTACTAGTCCTCACCCCATCATGCAAACCAGGCTGTTTCTGAGATTCGTGCTTTTCTTTCATTTCCTCACATCCTTACTTTCTAGCGTTGGCCAGTATGAGAAATACTAAAATGTCATCAGAGATGATGTTCTTGCAGCATTTCTGTGCTCACCGGAACTAGGAAGCTGTAACTAGATTTACAGACTATGATGAATTAAAAATAAACTTCAAGCAAAGGAAGCAACTGATGTCCCTCCACAGGGGAATTGGATACTTAGTATGTGAATGTCTCATAACAAAACAAGACAGAGACATCAGTGGTTCCTGTACATACCAGGCTCAGTTCTGGAAATCTAAGGCTGCCTTCACCGAGATGTCTGGCAGTCATAAAAGTGGGGATTCAGCTCCTTTTTCCCTAACAGCTTCCTGCCTGCCTGTCCATGATAGAATTCTTCTTCGGTTTACCCTTTTATTAGGAGCCTTTCACAGCATGTTCTCCTGGTGTGAGACTGACAACCAGCTGTAGTCCTAAGGTAGTCATGTTGCCTATTGCTAATAGAGGCTGAGAGACCATCTCTTTCTGATGAGATTTGGAGGCTCAGTTTTGGTCCTGATTCTCAAACTTTGGCACTTAACTTTCGATGCCCATATTTAGGCCCCTAAGCGAGAGGGCCTGATTTTCACATTTGCTGTGCCTGGCAGCAGCTATTGACGATAATGCCAGTTGTAGGTGCAACACTGACAATCAGGTCACTTATTTAGATGCCTAATTTTAGGCATCCACTTTTGAAAACTTGAACCCTAGCTCTTGGTATGTTTTCTTTCCCTCATCTGTGTCTCATTCCCAAATAGACAATGTTCCAGCCATTTTGGGATTGGCTCCCGACTACTGTCTATGAGGCTCCTTTTATGAACATACTAGCAATGCTTTCTCTTACTGTTGTTTTTCAGGCATTACCTATAAAGAGGTAATAAACTTCAAGCCATCTCCCCTGCCTGAGTCAAAGGAAACAGCAGTGTAACCGTATGAACCATCTCTTCAAAAATCAAAAGAAGCAGGAAGGGTGTTAATGCTTGTGATAAGTCAGTTGTACAAACCTTTTTATAAATAAACTGGATGTAATCTGTTATATCTGTATTGTAAGGAATAATGGTGTTTTTACTCTAACCAGGAAGCTAGTGCCTTTGGAAGTAGCATTTCAAGACTGCCTGGAAACTTACCTCTATCCAAATTTTCTCATCTTTTTGTGCAAATTTGTGGTTTCATTTAATCAAAATACTCCTCAAAATACCAGGGTTTTCATGAATGTGTTTTTAGACCAGGTATTGCTAGTTCGAGTCACAGGGTAGTAGAGTAATAGTTAACCCCTTAAGCAATCTGAGGCTAAATGGACAAGTGTTTCCTTCTTCCTACATGAGTGGAGGGGAGTATGAGCCCCTGGAGCCAAGCCCAGAAGGCCTCAAAGGGAGTGTGCTAGCTTCCCTCTTGGTTCTTTCCTTCCTGCAGAAGCCAATTTGTGGATGATCTGCAGATTGTGAGGGAATGAAAATGTTGCTGGATAGGCTCAACAAACCTACTCTGAGAGATGTGTACAAGAGGCAGCAGTGGCAGTCAGGGACACCCATGGCTATAAGAGGTTTAGCAGGGGACTGAGTAGAGCTGCAAGTGGTCCTGATTTTAAATAATACAGTATTTTCTTCCTCTTCTGAATAACTTGCTCTCATTTTATATAGTGGAGTAGAGGGTCCTGATTTCCAGGGGAAAATTGTGAGGATTTATAACATTGTATAAGCTCTGTAATTTCTTCATAGTTTTGATGTGGTGATTGAAAATGTACATAGTGATCGGGAGGGGTGGGATCAGTGTGCCGATGTGAGTTAGAAATAAAGCTACATGCGAAGTGTCACTTCATGACAATAGGGATGGGGATAATAATATTTTTATTCTTCTTCTGACCTGCAGCTAGATGTTTTGTTCATATTATACATAGGCAGTATTAGGTGTACAGAACTAATTATTTTTAAATCTCATTATCTCATTCTCTTGTGAAAAATAATCCCTTGACAGAAGGTACAATATCCACAGGAGACATCTACCTGATGAGTTACTCTGGGATATTGGTTAGAAGCTTCTATGGGTTCTTCAGCTGTGTTCATCTCTTGCACTTTCCTAGCTGCTTAGTTCATAATAATCTCAGAGGAGCAGGAAATGGAAATTGGCAAACCTTTGTATGTGTTTTTATGGTTAAAGCTCATCTCTTTAAAAATTGAATACTTGCATAAGGGTTACTCCCACTACGATGTGCTGCTTTGCGTCAGTGCCAAGTGGAACATCTGTGGAAAGAGACATTTGATCTTAGTAGCTAATAACTGGAAAGGAACCCAGAGATGGCTCAGTTGACTTATTTTTTTACTCAATAAACATTTTAAAGTGGAAGGCTTCATCAACTCCGTTTTTAATGATTGTTTAATATAAAGCTCTATAAATACCAATATCTAGCAGAGAAGTATTTGTGATGAACACTTTAGCAGCCAGAAGAGGTACATAGAGAGAGGAAATGGTAGCTAAAACCCTGCAATTTTATGCATGCACAAATAAGCCTTTAAAAAAAACAAACAACATGCATAAAAAGAGGGAATAAATGCAACCCAAAGGAAAACCTTTTAGCACATAAGACACTAAGGAACGCACGTGTTGAGAGTCATGTTCCATTTTGCCACTATCATTTGCTCTCACCTTGAGCTTGGTCCTATGTTACTAAAGTAAATAAGTGCTTTGCCATTTACTTCAATGGGCACAGGATCAGGTCCTTTAATATCTGAGACCGTCTGTGTATGGGCCTGTAAACTCTGGGCCTGTTCCACCAAGGTGCTGAGAGCAAAATACCTTCAACTCTCATGGAAGGTAATGGCAGTTAAGGGTGTTCGATAGACCTAGTCAGGAAAAATGGGACAAACACTTCAATGCATTTTTTTCAAAGTTTGTGTTGCTTTATATTTTTAAAATACATCTCAAAACTCTAAATTTCACCAAACTTTTGGAAATTTTAAAAATTCCTTCCTGCACTACAGTTGGTCAAATCTCAGGATGACTGTTTTGTGAAAAATGTCAATTCTGTTTTTCCTGTCTGTTTTTTTTTTTTTAATTTCATTGAGATTTGGAAAATGTTGCCCAGTTCTACTGCTCAGCACTTATTAGGATCATGCGACATCTCCTGCATTGGCTTGGAGATGGACTTTTGCCTCTCAACTTACCATGATTTCTAAATGTACAGGTAGACAGGCACAATGAGACATAAGCAAAAGAATTTTAATTTTTCTAAAACATCAGTGAATATAGGATTGTCTTATTTTTTTAACCCTTTCTAGGAAAAAAAAGATGTTGAAAAGAAGACCTTGATGAAATATACAGAATTCTGAATATACCAGGGAAAATACAGGAGATGATGCAATATTATGTGAGCTAGTGTCAAATGACCAGGGATCATAGAGTTAACATAAGCAGGAAGTAATATCTCTGCATCATATATCCTCAAAGAGCTTAAGATAAGAAAAATTGCTGAGGAGAGCAATAGGGATCATTAGTATGAATAGCTTATTAAAAGAAATGTGAATGTGGAGGAAAGTATACTTTGTGTGATACAACTGCTGATTCAAAGGGGAGGCTAAGTTTCACAGGTTTTTATTTGCTATTTCTACTGGTGCTAGGCAACTCAGGTCAATAAGAACCCAATTTCTGTTTGCCTTAAGGAGAAATGTAAATATGATCTGCATGTACTCAACATGTATTGTGAAAAATAAACTGTTTTTTTAATAATAGTGGTCTCATTTTCCCACTCCTCGACCCCCCGCCCACACACACACACAAACCAGTTGTATTGTTGATGAAAGATGTTTGGGTAAAATATTTTTGCTGTCAAGAAATTGTATGAAACCCGATATTATAGATTTATCCCATTTTAATATGAGATGGTGGCTTTGTTTATTTTGGAATGAAATAAGCCCATAGATTCTAACCTCCCCCACTCCAATCTCCAGCACTGTACATCAGCCACACAACGTGACTGAGTGTAGTGTTGCCACCTGGTTATTTCATAGGCATTCTCAGTTTTTACAGAAACATCATGACTTTGTTCTGGAGGGCAGGTTTTCAAGGCCTAGACATAAAACCATTCCCTAACCTGATTAAAGAACCATTGTTGTCCTGTCCACACTGACAATTAGTAAACCTGTTATGACGTCAACACCTCGTAAGTATAGAAGAGAACTTTGAGCTAGCAGCGTTCTGGAAGTGGAGATGGGCCCTAAATGCAACAACCTAAATGCGTCCTGACCATTTTACAATACCAATTGTTCCATTAATGTTCACTATCCACTGCCCTAAAAAGCCATTGCTTAGAATAAAAAAGCTTATGAGCTGCTCTTTTGAGCTTCCTGCTCTCTTACCTTCTGCAAAATTCAAATATCAAGTGCCTTTTCCACCTGCTCCAGCTAAGGTTGTGTCAGATGTTATATCAGAGATTATTTTTTATTATAACTTGGACTAAAATACTCCCTTAGGGCTCATACTTGGCACATGCACATGGTCAGCCCAGAAAGCAGGCTATTAAAAATGAAGTTTCCATGCTAACCATTTGAACACTGAGCAGCAAGTCTACAACATAGATATGCTATAGGTTTAGAGAGGACAAGATTGAAGATGGTAACTTTAGACTTGTTTTAGGGGAAGGTCCAGTGTGGAGCTGGGGGGTGCTTTATCTGTAGCTACAGAGGGGTTAGTGACATGTCTGGAAACCTTCCTGAATATGCTATCCCTGCCAATCCACCTTCCATCTCCTAATTCCCTATCCATTCCTACATAGGAAGTAGCACGTGACTTACTATGGCCAGTGGTTCTGTCCAGTTCGGTGCATGGGCCACCAGCGCCCCAGGCAGACTTTTCTAAACAGTTTGAGAACCAAGCCTTGGGTTGCTGGTAGTTTAGGAAAGGAGGATCTCTTTTATGTGCCCCCCCACACACACCCCTGCCCCATGGTGTTGCTAGGTGATTCTCAGTGCTCAGAAGACTATTTGCACTCTGTGATTGTTATGCCACTATTTAAAATCTTACATTGCCACCTAGCAACCACTTGCATCTCTCAGACATGGGAAGTATGTAGCTTGTTATGCTGCTGGTAGGGAGAAGGCAACTGAGGACAAAGAAATTGGTTTCAGAATGCAGTGTTACATAATATTGCAGTACAAGACAGCCCACCCCCACCCCGCTTTAGTCCTGCTGAACTGCCTTCTGTAGTACAGTTTCCTTGAGCACTCCATGGTCTGCTACATCAATCACTAGTGTTTTACTTAAGGATGTGGGGACTCTCCCAATTGGATTTGACTAGTGCACTAATCCCCTCGCAATATAAACTCTACATTGCTTGTATTGATGTATTTGAAACGCTCTTATCACAAGTGAAGGGTAAGTGAAATAATGCAAATGTAAATTGACTGCTATGCATGAAATCAAATGAAACAAATTACTGTTCAGATCCTGTTTTAGAATCCTCTCAATTTTGCTGTGGAAAGTACTGTAAACATAACGTGCCTTTTCATGGCAGGGAATGTCTTATTGTGTTTGGACAATGCCTAGTTTGGTAGGGCTCTGATCCTAACTGGCACCTCTGAGCACTACTTGTAATATAAATAACAATCAAAGGCAGTGACTGGGGCCTAATGCAGTGCCCAGTGAAGTCAATGGAAAAACTCCCATTGATCTCAATAGACAATGAAAATACAATACAAACTGTAATACTTTTGAGACCATAATTGTGGCCACCAGGGGGCTGCAGCAACTAAGTTTCTGTTCCCTTTCCCAAAGGCTCACTTTCTGTGCACATGACAGTGCAGTTAGTTTTGTTGTCTTTGTGCCCTGTCATTTGGTGTGTGTCCAACCACTTGCAGTTTTCAGGACACTCCCTACTTTTTTGTTTTTCATTTAAATTATTTAGCTGATATTTTTAAATGCAGTGAGTCATTATTGAGGAAAAAAAGAATTGGAGAAGTATGCACAGAAAAACTTTGAAACAAAACCAAGCAGTTTGCTCTCTGAAAAGCATTCTTAAAATGTGGAATATATTGCAACATGAAACAATGTTACCATTAAAGGTACTGAAACTACCATTCAAGTAAAAAGCCTCCTGAACAACAGTGGAATCACTTAGGCATATTCAGTTAGAATAACCTGAAGAAGAGCTCTGTGTAGCTTGAAAGCTACAGAAGTTGGTCCAATAAAAGATTTCACCTCAGCTATCTTGTCTTTAGAATAACCACACAACATTGAACTCCAAGTGAATGAACCCTGATGAACATTCTTTCTAATTCAGCAACTAACATGCCACTGCAAAACCTCCAGTTAAAGCAGGCAGAGTAAGGGTGAAAAGGCCCCAGTGAAGTCAACTGGAGTTTTGACTGTCAAGTGGATGGGCAGATGTCATCAATTCAGACAAAAATTGTTCGGGGCACCTCTATTACTGTAGCTAATACAAATGAATGTTGTGTCTCTGTTTGCTCTCTTATAAGGTAACTGCTGGATTTGACAGCTTTTGATCCGATCCTAAGGTGTGATGTGGCTGCTTTGCACTGCATTGTTAGTGGGTTCCAGCCCTAAAACTGTTGTACCTTGCCATGGGAGGATAACCCCAATATAGAGGATCCTCCTGTGGCACAGAACTGGTGTAATGACTCCTGTGCCATACCCCCACCTCATCATATCCTGCTGGCTGCTGTCTGGCCCTCATGCTATAGGCAGCTACAATAATTCAGAGCAGCCTACAGCCGCCTCCAAATCATGCCAGGAGACCAGCCCAGGATCAGGGCAGTGCAAGGGCTGCCTTTGTATATACTTCTCCCCGCAACTGCACTATGTTCCCCATCTATGGACAGAAATCTGGGCCTTTTGGTGTTGGATTTTGTTCAGAGGAACACAGCTTTTGTTTTTATATTTAATTTTGGCTTCCTTCCTGACAAAGGAATAAACTCTTTATATAACGCTGTTATATAAAGCAATGGCTAGGTATGGAGTTACATAACTAAAAGGGGAATTTGCCCTGAGTAATACATTTTCTTTTAAAGAAAGGTGCCTTCTTTGCTCTGACCACTTTGTATGTTGCATCCAGTTTCCCTCACCTTTCATCTGTTTTGTCTTTCTAGATTATTTTATGCATAGTTACTAGGATACTAGTGACATTCAGCCTTCAATACAATGTAGTACAATACCATTAGCATTGGTGCTGGCAGGACCACCTATTATTAAGGTAGTCTGATTCTTCCCATTATTATAATACCCTCTTTTCAGTTGCTTATATCTTTGCCAAACTTTAAGCATCGAGACTGAAATTCTTCCTAACACTTTCCCTCTCCCCAAGACAAAACAGTTCTGCTGTTTCTGATAATGAAGCTAGGGGAAAATACATTGTTTTGCTGATGTTAAAAAATTCTGGTAACTTTTTCTTTCAAAAATTCTAGCACCCCATACTTTGGAGAAGGGGTATGAAATTTAGCAAGGGGGTGGGTGGCCTTTAAGTCAGGGAAGTGTCTTTTGCCATCCCTGTGAAAATCCCTTCAAATTTATCCAAGTTATAAGCCTTTGAAAAGTCTGAGTTTGCACATGCTCAGTAGAGACAGATCTCTATAAAGATTTTGTCCTCACTGAGCATGCTCAAGCTTTTCACAGCTCCTAATGCTGACCAGACTGCGCATTCTCCCTCTAGCCCAGGCCTACGGGGGCAAGGCCGACATAATTATATGTCTCCCGCCGACATAACTACCGCCGCACATTAGAGGTGGTTTAAT